CACATCCGCAAACCCATCCAACACGCCACCAGGTCGGCGGACCCTAAACCCTAAACCCTAAACCCTAAACCCTAAACCCCAAATCCTAAACCCTAAACCCTCAACCCTGCTTCGGGATTGGCCTTTCGGGTTTCGGGTTTGTCTAGTATATGCTTGGCGCCTTTTAGGGGGTCCTTTTGCAGTAGTTAGTTTTCGGGCCCAAGCACCATGCTATGTGGGGTTTATGCGCCCCAAGGCTGTATAACAGGGTTTAGGGTTTGGGGTTTGGGGTTTGGGGTGTGGGGTTTAGGGCGCACTGGGGCAGGATTCACGGCCCAGGCAACACAACTCGACACACTGCGCCCATCAGCTTGGGTGGGGTTCTTCGGTCCGGCATTTCATTCAAGCAAGTACCCTAGACCCTCATGCCCTTGGCCCGAGACTTTGCGCCCTCTGAATTTCTGAATCACCCTGAACCCCTATCACCAAGAAAGCCCCCTCAAGTTGGAGCCCTCAGCCCTGTGGCTCCACGACTCAGCCTGTGGGCTGCCTCAGCTGCAAAGTCAGTGCGCGGAAGTCTCATGCTATGGCCATGCTCGCCAAGATCGGCCAAAAACTGGAAGAGATGTCTGGGTCCGGAGGGCTCAATGCAGGCAATGTGGGGGGGGTTTCCGAAATTCGGGGGACCTTGTCAGTTTTTGGGTGTCCTTACAAAAAGGAGAGATCCTACTCTTTGGGGGTGTGTATTGGGGCTCCTCTATCATTGTAAACGTTCGTGTTTCTGGGTTTGGATGGCTCAATGCAGGCAATGTTCAGTCAAGAGTCCAAAGCCGACTGGGGTGACTTTGTGCACAGCTTGTCGATCTCGGACACTTGGTGGCCCTAAACCCTAAACCCTAAATCCTAAACCCTAAACCCTAAACCCTAAGCCCCAAACCCTAAACCCCTTTTTTGCCCTTTTGGGTTTCGAGATTTCCTTCTAGCAGCAACCAATAAGGACACGGCTTCCAGTCAAGATCTTGGCTCACAAGATGTGGCCACTCGCCAAAAGTTGGGGGTACCTATGTTGGCTCTGCAAGGAGCCCGTACATCCGTATTTTGGCGCGAAAACCCCCCCCCCCCCCCCAGATACCCTAAACCCTAAACCCTAAACCCTAAACCCTAAGCCCTAAGCCCTAAGCCCTAAGCCCTAAACCCTAAACCCTGAACCCTGAACCCTGAACCCTGAACCCTAAACCCTAAACCCTAAAGGATGTCTATTTTTAAAGGGTTTTTTGTTTTTTTTTTGTTTTTTTTTGATTTTTTTTGGTTTTTGTTCTTGCTACTGGTAAGCCCTAAACCCCAAACCCTAAACCCTGAACCCTAAACCCCTAAACCCTTAAACCCCTAAACCCCTAAACCCCTAAACCCCTAAACCCCTAAACCCCTAAACCCCTAAACCCCTAACCCCTAAACCCTAAACTAAACCCCTAAACCCCCCCTAAACCCCTAACCCCTAAACCCAAACCCCTAAACCCCTAAACCCCTAAACCCCTAAACCCCTAAACCCCTAAACCCCTAAACCCCTAAACCCCTAAACCCCTAAACCCCTAAACCCCTAAACCCTAAACCCTAAAGCAAAAAAAAAAACTCCCCAAAAAAACAAAAAAACCTAATTTAATTCTCCGGCCATTAACCCTAAACCCTAAACCAGGCAGCGTGGGAGCAAGGAGTCGAGTTCTTCAAGCTGCCACGGAGCATTGACCTCGACAATCCCACGAGTGGTGACGGTCAATTCGGATTCTTAGCAGCTGCCTCACACTTTTTTGGGATACTAGAATTCAATTCCTTGTAGAACTGAACCCCTAAACCCTAAACCCTAAACCCTCAACCCTAAACCCTTTACGGCGCGGCTTAGGAATTCAGCAACTAAGGATTTGGCAGTTCGTCAAGCGAGACCTCGTCCGGCCTCGGCGGGAAGGGGGGGCGGAAACCGCGCGTCAAGAAGACTCTTGGTACAGGGTTTTAGGGTTCTGGGGTTTCAGGGTTTTAGGGTGTTAGGGTTTTAGGGTTGTAGGGTTTGAGGGTTTTAGGGTTTGAGGGTTTTAGGGTTTTAGGGTTTAGGGTTTTGGGGTTTTGGGGTTTTAGGGTTTTAGGGTCTTAGGGGTTTTAGGGGTTTTAGGGTTTTAGGGGTTTTGGGTTTTAGGGTTTCAGGGTTTTAGGGTTTTCGGGTTTTAGGGTCTTAGGGGTTTTAGGGTCTTAGGGTTTTTTGGGTTTTAGGGTTTTAGGGTTTTAGGGTTTTAGGGTTTTGGGGGTTTAGGGGTTTAGGGTTATAGGGTTTTAGGGTTTTAAGGTCTTAGGGTGTTAGGTGTTAGGGTTTTAGGGTTACATACCTACAACCCTATATCTACTGTTTGCTTAAGAGCCCCCTAAAAACAAACAAATCTTCCCTGCCAGGGTTTTAAGTTTGTTTTTTTTTTTTTTTGGGGGGGGGGGTGGGGGGGCGGTTCTTAAGCAAATAAACCTCAGCGGCACCCTTTTGCCCCTTCTTCTTTGGTTGTAGGTTCCCTTTTCAAGCAGCCCTAAACCCTAAACCCCAAAAGGGCACCCTGTATTCTAAAACCCTAAACCCTAAACCCTAAACGGTTGCGGGGCTACCAAGGAAGGGCGCAACTAGGCCGCGGTCTCCTATGAGCCCAGGCCTTGTCACTCCCAACGAAGAGAGGCTCCAGAAGCACAGCGGGTTTAGGGTCTAGGGTTTAGGGTTTAGGGTTTAGGGCTTAGGGTTTTATGGTTTAGAGTTCAGGGTTTAGGGTTTAGGGTTTAGGGGAATGGGAAACTAGGCAAACGACTCCATAGGGTTTGGGCTAGTTTATCTGTTCTCTTACTGGGTATGAAGAGAGAGGATCCTACCTTCGGAATGTTTTCAGCGGGTTTCAAGTACCATCCTAGGAAGCCAAGCAAGCATCATGATGGGGACGGTCATGGACAAGTTCGACACCACCCCGCCCCCCCCCCCTCTGTCCGGCAACGATGCGGGAGGCTTAGTAGCTGAGTGAGCACACTTTTTCACTTTTTGGGATACTATAAATCCCCTATAGAACTGTACTAGTGTGCACTTTCTTGGGGGGGGGGGGGGGGCTTATGAGCTCAGCAACTAAGGAGGAAGCCGGGCCCACTTCCCAAATTCGCTCGGGGCGTGTGCGCATTCGCTTAACGCCACGGCACTTCAGTCCCCTGGGGACCACCTTCCGTGATGTGCGAGTCTAGGTAGGCCCTTGGGAGATCTTGTATTGGGGGTGAAGAGGATCATCTTCAGGAATAGCCCTACACCCCAAAGCCCAAACCCTAAACCCTAAACCCTAAACCCCAAACCCTAAACCCTAAACCCTAAACCCCAAACCCTCAACCCTAAACCCCAAGCCCTAAACCCTAAACCTTATAAACCCTAAACCCTAAACCCTAAACCCTAAATTTGTTTAAGGGGGTTTTTAAGGGGTACCACCCCAGGAATGACATTCTTACACACGCGCTTCGCCATCCGGGCAGTTGACTGCGAAGGATATGCGTGGACTGCCTGGTCGAGTACCTTGGGGACCAAATGAACCTTGAAAGGGGTTTAGGGTTTAGGGTTTAGGGTTTAGGGTTTAGGGTTTAGGGTTTAGGGTTTAGGGTTTAGGGTTTAGGGTTTAGGGTGTAGGGTTTCGGGTCCATATACCTTAATAGGAATTTTAGTAGTATGGGGTATATGACCCCATTTTTGGGGGTTCATTCCGTCCCCGAGGTGTGCTGCCTGGGTTCCTGTCAGTGGATCGTTGCAAGTACAAGATCGACCCCACTGGCAAGGATGTCCTCATCACCCTCTGTCCCGAGTACGCGTACCTTGGGGGACCCAAAGAACCTTAAATGGTCATATGAAGGAGGGTATATATTTCTGCTTTTGGTGAGTGTATATAAGGTTCCTGTTTAAAGTTGGTGAGTGTATATACTTGGTGGCCTTTTGGGGGTACAGGAAATATAAACCCTACTTCATGTGTGTATGAACCCTAAACCCAAACCCCAAAACCTAAACCCTCCCGAGGTATTTGCCCTTGACCGGCCTAGAGAGCCTTGAGCTGCACCGGCCGTATAAGTTTGAGAACTGCAAGAAGAACTTCACGAAGTACTTCATCTAGCGCCCGGAGGCGACGAAGGCCCGCAGAGCACTTCTGAGGGGGCCGCCACTTGTTTATGCAAAAGACCCCAATCTCTCACTTAAGAATGGTTTACGGCTTTTGTTTCTGTCGCACTGTTTTTCGTGAAAGACACCCCTTAATTTGCTTCCATCGTCTATTCGTGTGTTTCAAGAGTAGATCCAGCACAGCTGCCCCAAGTTATCTCAAGAACCCGCTGCGGATGAACGGCGGAATGTGAGACCCAGAGTTGAAGGCGCCAGCTCTCACAAGTCACAAGGATGGTAGAAGCCGCTGCGAGAAGCCGGCAGTTTTCGGAGACACATGGCTCTGCGTACGTTGCATGTGGTGCTATTCTTGCTAGTGATGCTAGTGCCACTCCAAGAGCCTGTAGAACTATTGCAGGGAATCTTGAGGAGCCATTGAAAAGCCAGATCCGAAAGCGGCCCTGGGTGCAGCGTTTCGTGCGAAAGTGACTTTTCCATCCCTGAATGGGATGCTGTGTGACCGCTGAGCGAAGCCTTTTCAGTGAGTATGTGGCTCTGACCCTGTATCAAAGCCTCCATGCGGCAGGTCTCTTAAAAGATGGGAGACCATGCACATAATGTTGAGGGCTGTGAGGTATTTCTGAGTTTTGCTGCCGTATCAGCAACGAACGCTCGGTCCCTATCCCCTAAGTCTAAAGGGGCTGTGGCCCACAGCCGGGCACGCCCCGTGCGGAGCAGCCACGACAACAACCAAAAGACGCGCGCGCGCGCGCGCGCGCGCGGCACGTCGAGCGCCATGCTCTGGCAGCGTCCTTCCAAGTCCTGCCGCCCTAAACCAACCCCCCCCCCCTGCCCCCAGGAGCCGCTCATGCTGCCGATGCTCGCCCCCCGGATCCCCAAAGAGAAACGAAGCCTCGATGATGCGCCCCTGGTCCCCGCCCGGCCGCGCATCATGAGCATCAGCGGCTCCGGCCTCCAGGCATGCGTGGCTTATGGGGGCATATGCCGGCCTCAAAACGGAAAGGTCCGGGGTCCCAAAAACGAGCATCATCGAGTCTATTTTTTAACTTTTGCCGAAGGCACGTTGTTGATGTTGTTTTGGGGCGCATCGGCTACCCCAAAGGACCCGCACAAGAGCGCGCATCATGAGCATCAGCGAGTTGGGTCTCGGGTTTTGTATGCGGCTGCAGAAAACACCGTAAATACCGTGGTTTTCGTGCTGTTACGGGTAGCTAAAGCTAGGGCGTCGGTCCAGGGTCAACGTCTGGAGCTTTGTGGGGTTGGGGGGTGGATGGGGCGGGGGGGTGGGGGGGGGGGGTGGGGCGGAGGGAAGGAGGTTTCACCTCCACAAACCCATCCAACACCCTAAACCCACAAAATCGAGGTGTTCCCGTTTCCATCCCGAGATCCTCGAGCGTGACGGGGTGCGGCCCGCGAAATCAGGCCGGCTCTTGGCACTGCCGGGGTATACCGGGAGGTTTCTGAAAGGGACAGTTATACATGGGCCCCAAACCTTAAACCCTAAAGCCTAAACCCTAAACCCTAAACCCCAAACCCCAAACCCTGAACCCTGAACCCTAAGGGTAGTCGTACGGGCCCTGAATATGGTTTTTCTTACCTTCTTTGAAGGGTTCTGAAGTATGGGCCCTAGAAGGGGTTCCCTTTTGAGAGCCCATACTAAGGGACCGTGTAGCTACCCTACTACGAGAGGTTCGTTTGTAGAGTGAGTTACAAGTGCCCCAAATACAGGCCCTGTAGTTTCCAAGTCGGTATAAGCTCACGACCCTAAACCCTAAACCCTAAACGCTCACGCGCCCCGGTGTTTCAGGGCTTATGGGCTCAGATGTGTTTTGTTATCAGTTATCATCGTTATTATGCATTTGTCTCGGTGGAGCTCGGTTGTGGGTTGAGGTTTTCGCGTTTGGGGTGTCCAGCGGTTCAGGACTCTAAACTAAACCCCAAACCCTAAGCCCTAAACCCTAAACTCCTAAACCCTAAACCCTAAACCCTAAACCCTAAACCCTAAACCCTAAACCCTAAACCCTAAACCCTAAACCCTAAACCCTAAACCCTAAACCCTAAACCCTAAACCCTAAACCCTAACCCCTAAACCCTAAATCCTAAACCCTAAACCCTAAACCCTAAACGCTCAACCGGGCTCATGGGAGCCTCCACCCTCCGCGCTGCGAGGCTACCCGGTGGCCAAGCCTGCGCCAGCGGAGGCTCGGGCCCTGCGCATCGTTGCTCTAAGCGGTTTAGGGTTTAGGGGTTTAGGGGTTTAGGGGTTTCGGGTTTAGGGTTTAGGGTTTAGGGGTTTAGGGTTTAGGGTTTAAGGTTTAGGGTTTAGGGGTTTAGGGGTTTAGGGGTTTAGGGTTTAGGGTTACTTGTGTATATTGGGGTTTCCGAAAATAGGGGTACACTTTTTGGGGTTCCTACAATGAGGCTTATAGTACTTGGGGGGGGTATATGATAGGGGCACCCCTATTTTCGGGAATGCCCATATACATCTAACAATAATGTTAAATAGTAGGTGTGTATAAGTGGATGTATTTATGCATGCATGTATGCATTTAAGATCTTACTTGTACGCACAGATAGCCGTTGTGATAGGGCTCCCTATACTCATATATATACAGATATATATATATATATATACATATATATATATATAGGGGGGTATGAGGCTAGCTTGCCATAGTGTCGGAGACTCGCGAAGCCCTAAGCCAACCCCAACCCTCAACCCCCAACCCTCAACTCTCAACCCTCAACCCTCAACCCTGAACCCTCAACCCTCAACCCTGAACCCTAAACTCTGAACCCTAAACCCTAAACCCTTCCACCTAGAAAACCAATGAGTCCAGAATTTACAAACCATTAAATCCTGATTTAATTGTTGCGTTTGGGTTGGGTTTTGACCTACCTCGACATACCTTGTCCCCTCCAACGACACAATGAAATCCAGATTTAATTGTGTTTCTTTGCGTTTGACTGGAAGACAATTAAATCCTGAGTTAATGGTATAGCAGAGACTTGTGCTAATTGGTAACTATTTGCACCATCAAATCATGATTTAATTGTACTACTATTACTATTATTACTATTAGTCTTATTATTACTATTACTAGTAGTATTATTATTACTACTATTATTATTATTACTCTTACTATTAGTATTATTATTACTATTACTGTTATTATTACTATTACTTTTATTATTACGATTATTATTACTATTACTATTTATATTATTCTTACTCTTACCATTATTTTTATTTCTATTATTATATTATTATTAATATTATTAATATTATTATTCTTTTTTACCATTATTATTACTATTACTATTCGTATTATTATTACCATTACTCTTCATCCTATTATTATTATTATTGCTATTACTATGATTATTACTCTTACTATTTTTATCATTATTCTTATTATTATTACGTGTACTCTGATGATTATTATTAGTACTCTTACTATTACTATCACTTTTATTACGATTACTATTATTATTGTTGTTCTTATTGTGACTATTATTATTACTATTACTATTATTATTATTGTTATTATTACGAAAAGACCTCCGAGGAAGCGTGAGCTCCCTTCGACAATCACCTCACTGCCATGCCATCAACATTCCGGTGTAGGTGTATTTAGTTATCTGTTTGTCCCTAATTTCATGGGTGTCCTAGTGGTTGAGGTGGTTCCCGATCCGACCCGTATTCAGGCTTGGTCATTGATTCATGTCCATTAAATCTTGATTTAATTCTGCTGCGGGTTGGGGTCGTCTAGCAGAAACAATTAAATCCTGATTTAATTGTTTCCCTTGAGCAGCTCGCCCGCGTGGCATGCTACGTCGCGCGACGTTAACAGGCAATTAAATCGAGAGCTAATTGTGCTGGACCTAAGGGGCGTCGAGCCGGCCCGATGCCGGTCAATTAACTTCAGAGCTAATTTTCCTTTCTTGGATTCGCTGCCTTCCCTAAACCCTAACCTTAAGAGAGCCAAAGCCCTTTCAGCCCCCTGCTGCCCAGGCGCGAAGTTCCGACCGATCTCCCAGGTGCCGGAAGCCCGAAACCCTAAACCCTAAACCCCAAACCCTAAACCCTAAACCCCAAACCCCACACCCTAAGCCCTAAACGCTAAACCCCAAACACTAAGCCCTAAACCTTCAACCTTGGACCGAAGGGGCCAGGGGTGGCTTGGGTTTGGGTTTAGGGTTTAGGGTTTGGGGTTTAGGGTTTAGGGTTTAGGGTTTGGGGTTTGGGGTTTAGGGTCCAGGGTAGGCCCTTATTCCTTTTTTTTATAGGGTTTAGGGTTTAGGGTTTGGGGTTTAGGGTTTAGGGTTTAGGGGGTTTGTGTTCCCTTATCAGCCCCTTTAAACCAAGCAAGGGTTCCCTCATTCTTCCTGGGCTCCTTCCTGCCTCATGATGCCCGTCACATTGAAAACCCTGCAACCCCTGAGACCTGAAGCCCTACGTGGAGGTTCATGGGTAGTTCTAAGTAGGGTTAAACGTATGGCAATTCTACTTCGAACCCCTTATAACCCTGCCTCTACCTACTCATGAACCTCCAGACAAGACCCTACTAGTAAGAGATTCGGCACGAAGCGGCCCGGCGCCCCCGACAGCGTTTTTGGCACAGGAAGGCATCGCAACTGGGAGCTTCTCCAATCACACCAGGCAAGATGGGGCTTGCGAAGCTTTATGGCCCGCGTGCCCTGGTGGTTTTGCTGCTGGCGCTCGCGGTTGGTCGCATGACCTATTCTCCGTGTGTGCGCCGGCTCTTCCGCAACATGGCCCTGCCAGGCATCCCCAGTGCCATGACTCCAGCCTATGCCCCGTGCTCAGATGCAGATCTTATCTCCTCTGTCAGCTTGGTGGTCACGGTGAAAGACACCTGCGGACAAGCCTACGAGCACCTCGCGCACCTAGCCAGCATGTTTCCCAGGGACATGCCGGTCTTCTACGCCTACCCGGCCATCCGTGGCTGCCGCCACGTGGATGCGGAGGCCGCGGGCGCGAAGCTCTTCTCCAACTTCACCACGGTGGCTGTGGGCCGAAGTGAGGCACCCATCGCGGGATTCCTGAAGGTGCAGCCACTGCTGAGGACGAAGTACGCCGTGCTCATGCACAACGACGCCTACCCAATGGAGCGGGACTTCGCCTGCGAGCTCTTCCGGGCGCTCGAGGCGCACCCCGACTACCCCATCGCCGCGCCGCAGATCTACGAGGCCGCCGGTGACAAGATCATTGTCCCGCACGGGCACCACCAGAACCTGCACGTGCGGCCCTCCACCAGCAGCGTCAGCGGCTACCGCATCGACTTCGACCTCAGCCTCAATCTCCTCACGCAGCGGGAGCCCGAGGACTTCAAGGAGGGCCCGCAGGCCAGGAGCGCGCGTTCATGGTGGGCTTTCGGCTTAACCCTCACCCCCAAACCCTAAACCCCAAACCCTAAACCCTGAACCCCAAACCCTAAACCCGAAACCCTAAAAACCCTAAGCCCTCAACCCCCCCCCCCCCCTTTTTTTGTGGCTGCCCCAGCTGCGCAGGTCGACTTCCTGGAGGACCACGCCTTCTTCGCGCGCGCGGACCGCTACCACGAGCTGCTGGATGCCTCGGGGTCGTTCACCCTGGAGTGCCTCGTGTGCCATATTAATTCTCATCATTACTATTACTATTATTTTGATTATGATTATCATTAATCCGAGCACCTGTTTAATTGGGAGGGGTCCCCCCCCCCCCCCAAAATAAGGAAGGCAGGGTTCCGCAATAATTGGACCATGGCCCTGCATTGATTCTCTATTAAAAACAATCGGCTGCAGATCCCTGAGGTGCTGTAGCTCCGCATCTCCGCAAGCAAAACAAGAAGCCTGCCGACAGATTTTTGAACCCCCCCCAAAAAAATTCTTTAAATGTGGGGGGTTATGGCCATACGAAATCCACCGCAATGGAAAGTAGTCTTCCGGCGGGCTTCCGGAGAAAAAATATTTCTTTAAATATGGGGGGTTTAATTAAACAGGTGCTCGGATTATCATTGTTACGATTATTATTATTATTCTTATTATTCTTATTCTTCTTCTTCTTATTATTATTTGCCTTATGAGTATTCTTATTATTCCTGTTATTCTTATTATTATTGTTATGATTATTATGACTATGATTTTGATTATTATTGAATATTAATATTCCCTTACCATTATTACTATTATTCCTAATATCATTATTGTTTCTCCAGGCCTCTTCCTTGAAGGGTCCCCCTCTCATGAGGGTTTAGGGTTGAGCGTGCGTGGAGCATCGGGGAGGAAGCGCGTGTTGAGTCTCCGGGCCTAAGGTACTACGACATGATCCTGAACATGAGGTCCCGTGACACTGCCGTCTGGTATGTGCCCACGGCGCGCTGCATCTTTGACGTCGATACGAACAAGATTACCTGGGAGGATCTCCCCTACCTGGTGCCTGAGTGGCTGAGATCTAGGCTTTGGGGTGTAGCGTTTAGGGTGTAGGGTTTAGTAGTTCTTCGGGTTGGGGCTTTTAGGGTTTAGGGTGTTTGGGGTGTCCTCTTAAGCAGCCCAGGTCTACAAGAGGAGCGAGCAGATCGGACATCAGGTGGACCTCCCATGACATAGGGTTTTAGGGTTTAGGGTTTCGGGTTTAGGGTTTCGGGTTTAGGGTCCAACACCTAAACCGCGTTTGAAACAGGGTTTGTATTGCTGTTCCCGGCGAGTGTACTTAGGGCTCCCTTTTGAATTCTTGGTGAGTGTACATATATAGAGATACAAGCAACAAAAACCCTACACAACTTGGGGAGCTGGGGAGCTTGGGGCTTTTTGGACCCTGAGGTGCGAACTTACTTGACCAAGAAGTGGGGCGTGGAGTTTGTGAACACGGGAATCTGGAACTACGTGCGCTACGTGATGCTGGCGGACGTGGTGATCTCGAAGGAGGATCTCCCCACGGACTGGGAAGACCAAGCCGCGGTCTTCTACAGCTGGTTCGAATCCGTGGGCTTCAACCGCTTCAACGGCCAATACCTCCCAGACTTTGTGGAGGTTGGGTGGCCCTAAACCCTAAACCAGAAACCCTAAACCCTAAACCCTACACCCCAAACCCTCAACCCTCAACCCTCAACCCTCAACCCTAACCCTAAACCCTAAGAAAACTCTGCAGCTTCTTTAGGATCCTACGGAGGGCCGCGTCAACATCTCCCGGACCATGCGGCAGACGCTGCCCACGGAGGCCCCCGCAGAGCCGTTGCATCCCTCTGGGGGGCTTGAAGGGTTAGGGTTTAGGGTTTAGGGTTTAGGGGTTTAGGGTGTAGGGGTTTAGGGGTTTAGGGGTTTAGGGGTTTAGGGGTTTAGGGGTTTAGGGGTTTAGGGGTTTAGGGGTTTAGGGGTTTAGGGGTTTAGGGGTTTAGGGGTTTAGGGGCTTAGGGGTTTAGGGGTTTAGGGGTTTAGGGGTTTAGGGTTTAGGGTTCAAGAGTGCAGGTGCAGCCATTTGAACAGACTGATCAGCCGCCATGTTCCTGCGAGTTGAGGGTAAAGGCCCACGAGCGCCTTAGTTGGGGAGGTTTGTAACACAGGGCCGGAGAAACTCTAAACCCTAAACCCTAACCCCTAATCCCCAGGATGGGTGTCTGTATTTCGGTCCCAACCGGGCCTCGGCTTTAGGTTAAGGGGTTTAGGGTCCGGGGTTTTCGGTGCGGAGGGTTGAGGGCTGATTGCGTTTAGGTTCAGGGTTCAAGGTTGTTAAGGGTTTTGGCCCTAAACCCTAGACCCTAGACCCTAGACCCTAAACCCTCAACCCTCAACCCTAAACCCTAAACCCTTGAAGGTTTAGTAGTTTGTGGGGGTTTGGGATCTCGCAGGTCTCCGCGCAGCGGAAGCCGCCAAAGTGGCTTGGACTTGCTGTGGGTTCTGCTGGGTCGTGGTGTGAAGCGGCCGTGAACTTTGAACCCCCAACCCTAAACCCTAAACCCTAAGCCCCTAAACCCCTAAACCCCTAAACCCCGAAACCCCTAAACCCCTAAACCCCTAAACCCCTAAACCCCTAAACCCCTACACCCCTACACCCCTAAACCCCTAAACCCCTAAACCCCTAAACCCCTGAACCCCTAAACCCTAAACCCTAACCCCAGAATGCTCCTCTCAGGAGTGCCCTGGAGCTTCTTCCGAAGCTCTCTCGGAAGAAGGTCGGCGCCATCGATATCTCCTTCAAGGAGACCCAGAGTGTCGGGTGTAGGCTGTAGGGGTTTACTGGTTTAGGGTGTAGGGTTTAGGGCTGGAAGACTTCTTAGGGGTTGGGGCTTCGGGAGCTTAGGGGGGCCCAGTGTTTAGCGCTTACTTCCTGTAGGGTTTAGGAATAAAGGTTTCGGGGCTTAGGGTTTAGGTTTATATCGGCTTCTCGGGACTGCGGCTTGGGGAGCTTATGACCCTTTGTGATGCAAATACCCTCGTTAAGGTGTTCTTGCGCCCTTACCCTCAACTTGCCAACTTGTTTGTGTGATCCACGCCTAGCTGCAAAGACTACAACTGAAGCCCAAGCCGAAAAGCCTCAAGCCAGAATCCGGAACCCAAACCCAAACCCGCGCAGCTCGGGATCTTGAAGGGGGGGGGATCCAAATCATGGTCCCTTGTTCCTAGGTGCCTAAGGTTTTAGTGTTTGGGGCGTTGGTTTAGGGTTTAGGGTTTAGGGTTTAGGGGTTAGGGTGCTTTGGGCATTTAAAGCTTGAGGGGCGCGGGGGTTCAGGGACGTCGCGTGTCGGATGCCCAGAAGTTGCGTTATTCCTTTGAGTTCGGTCCTCTTAAGGGCGGGTCTAGGGTGATACGCCATAAGCCCTAAGCCCCTAAACCCCTAAACCCCTAAACCCCTAAACCCCTAAACCCCTAAACCCCTAAACCCCTAAACCCCCAAACCCCCAAACCCCTAAACCCCTAAACCCCTAAACCCCTAAACCCCTAGACCCCTAAACCCCTAAACCCCTAGACCCCAAACCCTAAACTCTAAAACCTAAACCCGAACCCTAAACCCTAAACCCTAACCACCCTTTGGTTCTGAGGTGGTTGGGCAGGCGAGTCGTGGTTCTCTATCTTCTCTATCTACAGTAGGCCTTCACTGATCGTTAAGGGTATTCGCAAGGGCCCACCATTTAGACTCCCGGCCTCTCAGTTTTCGCAGCCCTGAGTGCCAGAACAAGGATTTTCGGGTTAAGGGTTCAGGGTTTAGGGCTTAGGGTTTGCTGTGAGAGGGCGTAGATGCTGTAAAGGTTAGGTTTTGGAACAAGCTCGAAAGCTTCGTGAGGCGCGATGAGCAGCTTTGGCCCGATTGTGGAAGGCCATCTGACACTTTTCTCCCACCCCACGCCGTCCGAGGCAGCAAAGCCACCCAAACCGATTCTTTTTAGGGTTTAGGCCTAAACTCAAGGCAACAGCCAACCTCTAAAACCTTCTTCCGTTTTAGGACGTTTCGTGTCAGGGGATTGTAAGAGGGGGTTCGTGGGTCCGAGAGTCACCGGCGGCCAAGCCTTGAGTTTAGGGTAAAGTACTGGACTCCAATCCCCGCAAGCCGGTTCTGCTGGGACGCCCCAAAACCTAAGGCCCTAAGCCCCAAACCTAAACTCTAAACCCTAAACTCTAAACCCTACGCCCCAAACCCTAAACAAGGAGCCTCACCTGTCAGTGGGCGTGAGGCAGACCCAGTGCGATGCAAGGGATCCTTCCAGCTACAGGGAGTGTGGTATGGCGGTGGAGGATGGCAATGAGCAACTCAGCCTCCAAGGGGTTTAGGGTTTAGGGTTTAGGGTTTAGGGTTTAGGGTTTAGGGTTTAGGGTTTAGGGTTTAGGGTTCAAGCAGGGCGCGACACTCTCCACCCTCCCCTTTTTCTGTTCGGGTGGCCTCTAGGGTGCAGTCGTGGGTAGTTGTGGGTTGGCGGTTGAATACGCTTTGGGGCGGTTTTTTTGTTCCCGAAGGTACTCGCAGCTGCACCCGTGTTGCTGATTGTGTGTGCACGCAGGTGTACTTGCTTCACTTATGTGGTTCCCTTCAACCTCAAGACCACACTCTACTTGGACAAGCTCATGGCCTGGATGAAGCTTCCAGCAAGAGCGTTCATGTACGGCCAGATGAAGTACTGGTCCGTCCCCATTGAAACAGACAAGGTTTCTTTCTACTGCGAGCAGACGCAGGAGGACTGCCAGTACCAGGCGGGCGAAGGCGAACAAACAACATCTTCACAACCACCTAAGCCTTAAACCCTAAACCCTAAACCCCAAACCCCAAACCCTAAACCCCAAACCCTAAACCCTAAACCCTAAACCCCAAGCCCTAACCCCCTGAACCGTACAACCTCAACTCCCTCGCCCTCACCCTGAAAGAAGACGAGCCCAGGTTTCCTTCTCGAAGAATGCTACGGTTCTTCAGTGGTCCTGGTTTGGCGTTCGCGACGCTGGCCCTCCCCTTTTGGTTCTCCTTGTTTCCTTGTTTCTCTCGTTCGACCACCCAGTTTTGAAGTCAGCAAAAAGATCAAACCCTAAGCCCTAAGCCCTAAGCCCTAAGCCCTAAACCCTAAACCCTAAACCCCCATCCCTCCGCGGCCCAAGGACAAGGAGGCCTTCACCCCCGAAGGCGTCGCTATCGGCGCTGGGCTGGGCCTGGCGATCTTGGTGCCCGCCCCTCCTTGTCGAAGTGCAGGGTTCGGCCCCAAACCCTAAACCCTAAGCCCTAAGCCCTAAACCCTAAGCCCTAGACCCTAAACCGTAAACCCTAAACCCTATAAGCCCTAAACCCTAAACCCCAAGCCCCAAGCCCCAAGCCCCGTATGAGATGCTCATCGTTAAGGGTGCAAGAGTGTCAGTTTCCAGGTTCGGGAGCCCTGGACCCCTTACACCCTAGACCCTAAACCCTAAACACCTTAACTCTTAAACCCCAAAACCCTAAACCCGAAACGCTTAGTGTCTTCAGCAACATGGCCCAGGTCCTGCTATCGCAGTTTGGGCCCCGGCGGATCCCAGAGGTTCAGTTGAAGGGGGGGCCAAAAGCAACGAAAGTGATGTGAGCCCCCCATGAAACCCAACTTCTCTGTAAGCCCTCCACCCTTAAAACGTAAACCCCTAAACCCCTAAGCCCAAAACCCTAAGGGCGCCTTAGAGGGATTTTGCTCAGTCATGGGGGCTCACGTGGAGGCTGTCAGCCTCATCAATCCGAAGGCACAGCTGGACAGAAGGCTGTGTTCAAGTAATTCGCCAGTTTTGTGCCTTGTGCAGCCTTGGATCATGGGGGAAGCCCACGCGTGGAGCCGCAGAGGTCCCCCATGCTACATAGATTTCAGATTCAGATGTTCTTGTGGATGGGGTTTGTGTCTGCATCCGATGAGAGCCCGCTCTCTCGTTACACTGTACATGCCGATTTCGCGTGGTCGTCCAGTTCACCCGTTCTTGCTTCAGTCGTCCGCTACAAGAGCAGTCCACGATGCGAGAGAAAGTCCGCTTCGCCCTGCATTCGTTGCTGAACGGCCTGTCTTCTGCCGAAACCTATCCCCAAGTCAGAAAACCTTGCTAAGGAAGGCCCTTGGGATGCTTGATATTTTCCCTTCTGGGGTTTAGGAGGATCATGTTGAGGAATGGCTTCCCTAAACCCTAAACCCTAAACCCTAGACCCCAAACCTTAAACCCTAAACCCCAAACCCCAAACCCCAAACCCTAAACTTTCAGAGGGCTTTAAATTGGCCATCCTTGCTCCCTTTAAGCCTGGGGCTCCTCAGCCTCACTGTCTGTGCTCTCCAAGTTTGGGTACGCTACCTGAAAAGGAGGGGGCCGCCATCTCTCCCCCAAGAAGAGCCATCCTTCACCCCTGACCACATAATCCCCTCCCCCTGATATGGAGGCTTCCCAAAATAGGGCCACATGAACAACTGTAAGCCCCAAACCCTAACCCTAAACCCTAAACCCTAAACCCTAAAACCTAAACGCTAAACGCTAAACCCTAAACCCTAAACCCTAAGCCCTAAGCCCTAAGCCCTAAGCCCTAAACCCTAAACCCTAAACCTTAAACCCTAAACCCTAAACCCAGCCTTGGAGCCTGCGAAGCCCCACCATGCGCAGTTGCAGGAGTGCTCAGAGTGGCGCGGCGGCCTCAGTCCTCCTGCAACACGTGTACACGCGTGTTCGAAACCTGCGGGTTTAGGGTTTCGGGTTTCGGGTTTAGGGTTTCGGGTTGAGGGTTTAGGGTTTAGGGTTTAGGATTTTAGGGTTTAGGGTTTAGGGTTTAGGGTGTCGTCGAAGGGAAGTTACATGGTCCCTTAATATGGTCCATTGCCTTGTGGGTGTAGAAGGGGTAATTATATAAGGGCCAGGAAAGTAGGGTTGGGGCCTGGGGATCAGGGTAGTTTAGGGTCTAGGATTTAGGGTCCCTAAACCCAAAACCCCAAAACCCAGTTCAAGGTTCCATGGGTGAGGGTTTTGGGTTCAGGGGTGTAGGTTTCGGGGTTGAACCCTCCCCTCCCCTCTCCCTCCCTCCCCCATCTGTTCCAGCTCCACCCCCCCCTCCCTCCCCGCCTGCCCCCCTCCCTCCCCCAGTTCCCAACTCCTGAACCTACAAAGCAGCACCAAGTGCAAAATTAAGCCTAAACACGAAACCCTAAACCCTAAACCCTAAACCCTAAACCCTAAACCCTAAACCCTAAACCCTAAACCCTAAACCCTAAACCCTATGCCCTATGCCCTAAACCCTAAACCCTAAACCCTAAACCCTAAACCCTAAACCCTGACACCTTACCACCCGCAGCCCCGACCCCACAAGCTCTACTTCTTGCGGAAAGTTCGAAACCCTATAAACCCCCCCGATACCAAGGCATCAGCGAGCGGACTGTTGCGGGCTGTCACCCCTGCCCATCACCAAGAGGGGATTCTGTAGGATTCAGGGGTTTGGGTTGTAGGGTTTAGGCCTTAGAGTTTTTTTTTTTTGGTTGGGCGGGGGGGGCTTAGGTTTAAGGGCTGTGGAAGACTTCGTGATCAGGGTCTGGTTTAGGGGCTTTATTGTGTCATGTACATGGATACATGGCGAGCTGAGTGCCGCCCGTGGCTCAGAGGCCGGATTCAGGGATGAAGGCTTAATTACGGGATGTTCCCCCTTATACTAACTGTCCTTAAGAGGGATTATAGTACCCCCTATTACAATCCTTGCTAAGGACTGTTTGTATAGGGCTTGTGTTAGATGTTGTTTTTCGTGGAGTTTGTGGTGGTCTGGTTCTGCAGCACCCCCCCCCCCCCCCAAAAAAAAAAAAAAAAAAACCCTAAGCCCTAAGCCCGAAACCTTGGAGTTCCTTCTGCAACGGAATCCAAGACGTAAGCCCTAAGCCCTAAGCCAAGTTTAAATGAACTTCGGACATGATCCAGCCTGACTCAACTTCAGAAAGCCCTAAACTCCCTAAACAAAGTCTTAAACCCTAAACCCTGAACCCTAAACCCTAAACCCCAAACCCTAAACCCTAAAGCCTTCAACTGAGTTCCTGACCAAAGCCCTGCTTGGAGGCTCTTTGGTAGTTTTTGAGCAGGGTTTAAGGTTAGGGTTGCTATAGTTCCAGCTTATGGCTAGCCATGGCGCTTTCTTTGGTGCAGTGCGGGAGCCGCGGGGGGCGGAGGGTGGTTGGCCAGCATATCCCGACTCAGATGTACTTTCAAACCTACTTAAACTACCTATGAACCTCCGAGCACGCCGTGGAGCACCCACTGGAGAAGACACCGAGGTGCGAAACTTGGCGCGCGTGGTGGACTGAGGGGGGGCTGCGTAGAGGGTCTAGCGGTTCAGGGTTCAAGGTGGAGGGGTACCCTCGGATTAGGGTTTCGTGGTTTGAGGCTTTAGGGTTTAGGGCTTGTCTAGGTGCTCATTTCGATTTGCAGTTTGTTTGTGACTACGGGTTAGCAACTTTCTTGTTTGGTGCTACAGCACTGGCTAAAAGAAGTTTTCGGGTGCGACTATTGTATAACTGTACAAAGCCCTGGCTGTAAGCAATTCTGAGGGATGGTTTTGGGCGCGGAGTCGAACCGCAGGCATTCGTTTTTTGGTTTTTACGTGGCGGGGGGGGGGGGGGGGGGGGACTTTTCGGCCCCAGAGCCCCTCAAGCCCATATTCCGTAACGAACCCTGCACCCCCTGGACCCCCTTAACCACCCTAAACCCCCTAAATACCCCTCAACCCCAAACCTTGCGATGTTCCCCCTGATACTAACAGTCCTTACTGGGGATTATAATAGGGGGGGGGGGGGGGTACTATAATCCCTTTTAAGGACTCTTAGTATAAGGGGGAACATCCCAACATCTCAACCCAAACCCCTTAAAATCCTGTAAGCCCCTAACCACCCCCCAAACCCTAAACCCTAAACCCTAAACCCTAAACCCTAAACCCTAAACCCTAAACCCCCAACCCCCTAAACCCTAAACACCCCAAACCCCTAAACCATCCCCATATGGGCAGAGGCCCTCACGCCGCCACGCCTTCGCTCCACCACGCCGCCGCGCACCAGCGCCACGCCTCCCAGGAGCAGGGCTTGCGGTCTCCTTCTCGGATTTTTTTGTTTAGGGTTTAGGGTTTAGGAATTAGGGTTTAGGGTTGAGGGTTGAGGATTGAGGGTTTGGGGCTTTGGTGTTTGGGGTTTAGGGTTTACTTTCTGTTTCTGTGAAACCCTTAGCCCTAAACCCTCAAACCCAAACGAGTCCGAGACACGGTGGTTGTATTTTGCTCCCAGAGGAAGTATGGGGGGCTGGTTGGTGGATTTAGTAAATCCTTTGTGGGGGAACGCGTTTCTTTCACATAAGATATTTTCCATTCATCAGTCTGAGGCAACCAAAAAACCCTAAACCCTAAACAAATCCCAAAGCCTAAGCCCTAAAAATTTCTCCACGTACATCTTGGGGCTCTGGTGGGTTTTAGGCTTCACTTGAAGGATTTCGTGGTGGTTTTCTCTGCGTGGAGTTATGAGTCCCCACTATGATGGAGTAGGCTTCCTGTACTCCCCACAAGGGAAGACCATCCCTGTAGAAACCCTAAAAGCAGGAGGAGCAGCAACACGAGCGCACAGTCGATTCGCGTCCGGGGCTCGCAGGGCAGGGCTTTAGGAGGGTTTGAGGGTTTAGGGAAACCCTAAAACCCAAAACCCTAGAACCCTAAAACCCTAAACCCTAAGCCAAAGCGTTTCGGGGGTTCAGGCGGTTTGGGGGGGGGGCTTTGGGGGGTTTAAGGGGGTTTAAGGGGTTTAAGGGGGTTTAAGGGGGTTTAAGGGGGTTTAAGGGGGCCTAAACCCTAAACCCTAAACCCTAAACCCTAAACCCTAAACCCTAAACCCTAAACCCTAAACCCTAAACCCTACACCCTCTTCCAGGCTATTTGAGCCGAGCCGCCTGTGGTGCCCTCCATAACGATCGACTCAGGACCGAAGGTCTGGGTTTTTGGGGTTTAAGGGTTTAGGGTTTTGGGTTTTGGGGGCTTAGGTTAAGGGTTTAGGGTTTAGGGTTTGGGGGGCTTAGGTTTAGGGTTTAGGGTTTGGGGTTTGGGGTTTGGGGTTTGGGGTTACCCATAAACCCATCAAGCCATAAATCCCCAAGCCTAAACCCATAGACCCATACCCCAAACACCCATAAACCCATAATTTCGGGATTTGGGGTTGGGGGTCGAGGTGTTGGGGCTTCGGGTTTGGGGCTGGGGGTTTCGGGATTGCATTGAAAAAAATCCGTGTCCAGGACAACCCGAAAAGCTGAGCACCCCAAACCCTAAAACCCAAACCTAAACCAGGGACCGGGTGTCGCAGGACATCCTTGACGGACGAAATTGGGGTCTGGCAAAGCCAGGGCCCCCGTGAGTTGCAAGCAGCCGATTTTCCGGCCTCTCCTACGTCGCCTTCGCAGGTCACCTGGAGGCTCAAGGTTCAGGGTTTAAGGTTTAGGGTTTAGGGTTTAAGGTTTAGGGTTTGGGGTTTAGGGTTGAGGGTTGAGGGTTGAGGGTTTACGGTTCAGGGTTTCGAGTGCAGCTGGGGGGGTGTTGCTTCCTGAGGGGGTGGCGTAGGGGCTGCCGTGTCTCTCTGACAACGGCTGAGTTGCGCGAAATTCCCGCTGAATCCATAGGAACTCTCAACTATCTCCTCGAAACTGGTCTTCTTTTGTCGGTTTAGGGTTTAGGGTTTAGGGGTTTAGGGGTTTAGGGGTTTAGGGGTTTAGGGGTTTAGGGGTTTAGGGGTTTAGGGGTTTAGGGGTTTAGGGGTTTAGGGGTTTAGGGGTTTAGGGGTTTAGGGGTTTGGGGGATGTTCGGAGCTTAGAGACGAGGAGCTGGTTGAAGCTTAGACGAAAAGGTCTGCAACGTGCGAAGTGCAGCGCATGGACCTCGCGATAATGGGCAAGCCAACAAGGCCTCTTGGGCCGCGCGGGCTGCGAAGGGGAAAAAAGACCATGCCTTGCCCCCCCCCCCCCCAAGCCTAAGACCCTAGAACCCTGCAAGCCCCCCAAATGGGGGTTTTCCGATAGGGTTCCTACATCAAGGAGTAGGCACTAGTAATCACTCGTAGTTTGAGGGTAAATGCGGCGTACCCCTGTTGTGGGAAATGCCCAAGAATTTCCCGAATATCCTAAACCCTAACCCTCCCTGCACCTCGGTGGTCGGTAGCAGGGGGTACCGGAATTCCCCTGAAGAAGCCCCACGCGGCCCCAAGAGCCCCAGGCCAACCCCAACCTGGTAGCACCCCGCCTCTGTAGCTTGGATCTGCTCAATCCCCGGAAGACTTTCAAAGGGTTTCAGCGGTTTTTATAGGTTTTTGATGGGTCTGTATATGGGGTCTTTAATAAAGGGTCTTTATTGAGTCTTTACGCAGTTTGCATAGGGTTTTATAGGTTTTTTTAGGGCGTTTATAGAGGGTTTAGAGGGCCACTCTAGGGTTTCTAGGCTAGCGCTTGCCCATCTCGTATGCAGAGATAGCAGCAATGAGGCCGCCTGCCAGCGTGTTCTTGACAAGTTGCCTGGTCCTGCCGGCTTTGCTGAGGGCCACTGCTTCTTTCACGCCGCCTTTCGGAACTGACGGATACACAGGCAGCGTGACGGCGCTGAATGGAGCCTACGCCTTCTACTGGCGAGTGGATGGTACTGCGAGGGTCCTTCAGTGTGCAGTTGCGGCGCAAACCCAAGGCTGGGTTGCTGTGGGCTTCAACGCGTTCCCTGAGATGAACGGGGCAGACATTGTGCTCATGAGTGCTGACGAGACGGGTGCCCTTGTGGTGCATGACCTCCATGCCACTGGCTTCTCCGCCCCCGTGGCTGACGTGTCCAGTGATATCAATGTGACAGGAAAGGGCCGCGGCAATGGTATCTCTTGGTTCTTGGCTGCAGATTGGTCGTGCTTTCTTGTGAAGAAGACACTTTAGGCTTGTAGTGTCCCATACCGCCTAGAGCCAAACACATCAGATCCAGCCAGGATAAGTTGTGTTAGATATTGCCATGTCTGTATGCCTTTCTCAGTGCGCCTTGCAACACCTTATGGAAGCGGCTACTTCCGTAAGGCATTCGACAGAAAAGACGTCTAGAGTCCAGAGACACTTCACCGCTGGATTGCAAGGAGAAACTCAGAAGATCACGCCATCATGTGAAGAACAGGTGGGCTACAGGAACGAGCACGCTACACCAGTAGATTGCGAAAGTAGTCTGAGGAGTGCATCAGATGAGAAGACACGCCGACACCGGAGAAGGTGCGCAGAGAATTTGAGGGGTGAAATCGAATGGAATGGCTTGCTATCGTCGAACACGTGCGAAGCCATGGGAAGATATGTCGAGGATGTGCCAAAGCAAGGCGATCCACCTCGAATACCCTCTGCGTCCCCGTTCGCCACCCCCCACCCAAACCCCCCACTCCCCACCCAAACCCCCCACTCCCCCCTTCCCCCCGCCCCGCGCACGTTGTGCTGTTTGTTAACAAACACACTGGTTAGGCTCTAAACAAATGCACTTGTTAGGCTCTAAGGCAGCTTGAGCAGAACAAGCTAGGTATCACACGCGCATAGAGCAGGTGCGCACCCATGCTCCTGGTGCGTAGTTCGTCGGCCCCCCCCCCCCCACCCCCCCCCCCCCCCCCCCCCCCCCCCCCCCCCCCCCCCCCCCCCCCCCCCCCCCCCCCCCCCCCCCCCCCCCCCCCCCCCCCCCCCCCCCCCCCCCCCCCCCCCCACACCCCCCCCCCACCCCCCCCCCCCCCCCCCCCCCCCCCCCCCCCCCCCCCCCCCCCCCCCCCCCCCCCCCCCCCCCCCCCCCCCCCCCCCCACAACCCCCCCCCCCCCCCCCCCCCCCCCCCCCCCCCCCCCCCCCCCCCCCCCCCCCCCCCCCCCCCCCCCCCCCCCCCCCCCCCCCCCAACCCCACCCCCCCCCCCCCCCCCCCCCCCCCCCCCCCCCCCCCCCCCCCCCCCCCCCCCCCCCCCCCCCCCCCCCCCCCCCCCCCCCACACCCCCCCCCCACCCCCCCCCCCCCCCCCCCCCCCCCCCCCCCCCCCCCCCCCCCCCCCCCCCCCCCCCACACACCCACCCCAACCCCCCCACCACCCCCCCCCCCCCCAACCCACCACCCCCCCCCAAACCCCCCCCCCCCACCCCCCCCCCCACCCCCCCATTCCCGCTGCAAAAATGCGATCCTTCCTTAGTGGCAGGGTTCCCCCGCTTCCACACACTCACACACAGAAACAATCAACCACACGGAACATCGTGGGACAAGCAGCTCAATGCGAGTAGGATGCAGTAACATCAATCTATATGAAGCAGGGTATATAAGGTTCCTTTTTCATACTGGTGAGTGTATATATTTGGTGTCCTTTCGGGGGCACAAGAAATATAAACCCTGCTTCATATGGCTGTGCTGCAACATCCTCAGCTGCCGGCAGGAAATGTCAGCTAAGTACCTAACATCACCGAGAAGCAGCTCCAAGCGCAATGGGGAGAGTGTGGGCTTTGGGGTTTAGGGTTTGGGGTTTGGGGTTTAGGGTTTGGGGTTTGGGGTTTGGGGTTTAGGGTTTTAAAGGTGCAGCGCAGGAAGCCATGGGGCGTCAGTAGAGTCTCGAAGCCAGCCAAGGTTCATGTTCGATCGAGCCTTGACGACTTGCGACAAGACAGGGGACTTTCAGTTCGGCAAGGTGGAAGGGGAGTTAACGCTCTTAGCTGCCAGGATGCCCAGTCGTGCCCTTATTCCCTTTTTTGGGGGCTTAGGTTCCCTTATCAACCCCTTGAAGCAAAAAAGGGCCACCCTTTGCCCTCATTCCCTTTTTTGGGGGCTCTAGGTTCCCTTATCAACCCCTTGAAGCAAAAAAGGGGCACCCTTTTTAAGCCTAGGCTACTGGGCAGCCTAGGCTGCGATTGGTGACACGGGCAGCTGGTCCTACCACGGCACGGCCAACCGAGAGGCGATTCGCCTCAAGCTGACGGAAGGTCAGGTATCCATATCCCCCTTGGGAATTATTTGTTTATTTTTTTGGTTCATAAAAAACCAAGAGGACATAAAGAATATGTTTTTTATTATTAAGGTTCTATTGGGAGTTGAGTAGAGGTATCTCTTCCGGCGGACGTGATCCAGGCCAACGTGATTACGCCCACCGCGATTGTGCCAACGCAGGCGGGCAGCTACGTTTGCTCAATTCATGAGCTACCTCATGACCGAGAACCTCGCCGGATCTATTTTCTGCGATGATTTCCTACTGTTGTTTCAACTGAGATGATAGCACAACAATCGCAAAAGACATGCCGGAACCTCTTGTGTCTTTTGCATCATTCGCTATGCCTTCCACACAGTTGAGGGCGAGTTTGCACACTGAATCTGTCTTGAATTTAAGCCCAGGATGCAGGCCGTCCATGGCTTGTCGGAGTCGGCGTAAGTTTCAAAGGTATGCCCGCGGTCGAGGTTCGGTGTACAGTTTCTACCCACCTTGACATGAGGAATGGGGGCCTTGTTGTTTCTCTTAGCTTAAACCCAAAATTTAAACCCTAAGCCCTAAAGCTCAAAACCCCAATGCCATTGATAGGGTCTGGCTGGAGCACATGGACCTTTTGGCTTCTCACCCTAAGCCCGAAAAACCCTCCCCAAACTCTAAACCCTAAACCCTAAATAACCCTCAACCCTAAACCCTAGACCCCAAATAACCCTAAACCCTAAACCCTAATCCCTAAGCCCTGAGCCCCAATGTGGACCTTTCTGAAAGCTGATCTCTTACAGTTTCGGGTTTGCCGGGCTGAGGGCTCGGTTTAGGGTTTAGGGTTCAGGGTTTAGGGTATAGGGTTTAGGATTATCCAAGATCCCAAAGGGCTCCAAGAACGGTTGGCACTTGAATGAGGGTCAAACTCCGGAGCCTGAACATTGACCAACACTTTCCCCCTTGTAAGGCACTCTTGTTTCACTTGCGATGCACCAGACGTATGTCGGCTACCATTCTAGTCAAATAGGCTCCGTAACGCTCGGCCCTGTAAAACCCGAAGCCCTGGCGAGTAAAGAAGCTCCTCCTATACTACACGAAGACAAAGCACCTCCTGCAGCGCGCAGCGGCCGAGGAATATCATCTCGTGCGCTTCAAGGCGAGCATGGCTTTTCGAAGCTAGGAACTGAAATCGACGTAGGCAGCCGGAGGTCAGGGTTCGGGGTTTGGGGTTTAGGGTTTAGGGTTTAGGGTTTGGGGTTTAGGGTTTAGGGTTTAGGGCTAGGGTTTAGAGTTTAGGGTTTTGGGGAGTTCCGTTCAAGTTGACTGGACTACCAGACGACGGAGACCCTAAACCCTAAACCCTAAACCCTGAACCCTAGACCCTAAACCCTAAGAGGTCCTGTCGGGCACCGCAGCTCTCGTCTCCGATGGTGGGGGGAGCGTTTTGCGCCTTGGCCACAGACTGGCGCAGGTCCGCGACCCTAAACCCCAAACCCAAAACCCTAAACCCAAGAGTCCCCGAACATCCTCAACCTTCAGCCCTTCAAGCTACAGTGTAGCCACACAATGTTGAACCCTTCAACCCTCGAATCCCTAAACCCCTTAAACCCTTAAACCCCTTAAACCCCTTAAACCCCTTAAACCCCTTAAACCCCTTAAACCCCTTAAACCCTTTAAACCCTTACTATTGGGGCCTTAGTGTTTTGAGGGTTATTCTAGTATAACTACAAAGGGACCATAGGGAAATACTGTCAGAAATCATTCCGTAAACCCTTAAACCCCGAAACCCTGTAACCCCAAACCCTAAACCCGTAACCCTAAACCCCTGAAAACCCTTAAACCCTTCAGCCCTGAAACCCTAAACCCTAAACCCTCAACCCTAAACCCTAAACACTTCAACCCGAATTTCACGGCTTGGGACCAACGATCGCATCGCACACTGCCATACCTTCCGTGTTCGCCGAAGCCATGATCCGAAAGGGCTTCTTGCGGACTCAGGGTTCAGGGCTCAGGGTTTAGGCCAGTTTAGGGTTTAGGGTTTAGGGTTTAGGGTTTAGCGTACTCGTTTCTTTTTTGGGTTTGTTATGAAGCCAGAATTTCGGTCTCTCGAGTTCCATCGCCGAATAGGATTTCAATCAGACGCCGCTGCAGTTAAGGCACTCGGAAATCCGAAGCCCTAAGCCCTAAGCCCTGAACCCTAAACCCTAAACCCTAAACCCTAAATAAACCCTAAACCCTAAACCCTAAACCCTAAACCCTAAACCCTAAACCCTAAACCCTAAACCCTAAACCCTAAACCCTAAACCCTAAACCCTAAACCCTAAACCCTGGCCATGGTGTAGATGGGCGGGTGAAACCGCATGGGGGTTTACGAAAATAGGGAACCCGCAGTATAGATCCCCAAATAGTAGGGTCCCCATCTCCCAAGGACCCCAATAAGGTATATACCCCCTCCCGCCCCCCAACCGGAAATTTAGGAAACCCGCATATCCGAAGCTTCACCCAGGCACCACGTGGACATGTTCAGTTGCTCTTCAGCCCCGGGGCCAACAGATTCAGCGGCTGAGCCGCAGCCCCCAGTTTTTTTTTTTTAAATTCTTTAGATTTCATTTCACGCGGTGTTCGAGAAGTTGTAGTTATTTCTAGGGGCTTCAAGAATAAGAGGATGTTTTGAATGTTAATGTTTAGGTCTTTGGCTCCAGAACAGTCCTTCGTCTGGGTCGCCCTGTTGATGGTGTTGTGGCTTTGCCTTGTTCCATGCGTTTTTTCCGTGGTGAAGCTTCATAAGGAGTGTACTATATGGGTCGGAGTATTTACTAATGGTATTCGCTGTGTGTCCCTATATAACTATACTGACTATACTATAATAAGCTGAGAAACCCTGTTCCAGTCATTTAAGGCCCCTGCATTAGATAAAGAAGGCCATCGTCAGCGAAATCCGGTCATGGGCCTGTAGGGACTGCACGGGACACCAGAGGTCACATTCGCAGAGAGTTGAAAATGAGGAGGCCGAGAACCCAGAGTTGGCCCTTATTCCCCTTGGTGTTTTGTAGGGTTCTTAAGGGAGGGGGGTTCAAGGGGGGTAGGTAGGTCTAGACCGCTTGAACCCTAAGCCCTAAGCCCTGAGCCCTGAGCCCTGAGCCCTAAGCTCTAAGCCCTAAGCCCTAAGCCCTAAGCCTTCTCGAAAGGCCTCATCGCAATTGGTGACTCCACAAAAGCCAAACAAGGGCGGCTGGGGCCAAGAGGTTCCAATGTGTTGAGGGTCTCAAGGTCCCGAGTTTGGAGGGTTTAGGGTTTAGGGTCTTTTGCCCCAAACGTTTTTTTTAAACCGTATACCCTAAACCCTAACCCCTACACCCTAAACCCTAAATCCTAAACCCTAAGTTCTAAACCCTAAACCCTAAACCCTAAACCCTAAACCCTAAACCCTAAACCTAAACCCTAAACCCTAAACCCTAAACCCTAAACCCTAAACCCTAAACCCTAAGTTCTAAACCCTAAGCCCTAAACCCTAAACCCTAAGTTCTAAACCCTAAACCCTAAGCCCTAAACCCTAAACCCTAGAGTGCGGCCACGAGGTTGTCAACTGCGCTGTGGCCATGGGATCCTGTGGCGACATGCTGCTCAGCGGAGGCTACTCCGGGCATGGCGAGGATGGTGCCAGGGCTTAGGGTTTAGGGTTTAGGTTTTAGGGTTTAGGGTTTAGGGTTTAGGGTTGGGGGGATATAGGGTTCAGGGTTTAGGGTTTGGGCTTAGCCGTTTTACTGTAGAGGTTGGAGCAGTCGGTTCTGTTTCTACGAGGCCATGGACATTTGTAATCTGCTTGGTCGTTGTCAAAGAACGAAGATGAAGTCACCACTTTGTGCGGGCAGACGGCTGAGGAGCCCTAATCTCTAAACCCTAAACCCTGAACCCTGAACCCTAAAGCCTCCAGTGGTTTCTTTTGTCGACTCTGCACGCCGGAGCTGACTACCACTGAACAACAAGCCCGAACCCCCCCTCCCCCTATACTCATACTCTTAACCCCCTAAACCCGAACCCCTATAAGCTCTAAGCCCACCGAAACCCCAAACCCCAAACCCCAAACCCCAAACCCCAAACCCCAAACCCCAAACCCCAAACCCCAAACCCCAAACCCCAAACCCCCAACCCCAAACCCCAAACCCCAAACCCCCAACCCCAAACCCAAACCCCAAACCCAAACCCCAAAACCCCAAACCCCAACCCCCAAACCCCAAACCCCAAACCCCAAACCCCCAAACCCCAAACCCTAAACCCTAAACCCTAAACCCTAAACCCCCCCCCCCCCACAACTCAAAGAGTCCCTACCACCAACACCTCCAGGACTTGCCAGCGGACACAGGCTTCCCTGTTGGGCCCTCGAACCGGTACGTCATGATACAACGGCACTTCTACAATGCCGCTGCCAAGGCAGGCATTGTGGATTCCGGAACCTATATCCTCCTTGGGAATTAGTTCTGTTCTGTTTATGTAAAACCCAAGAGGATATTAAAAATATCATTTTTATTAAGGTTCTAAGGGGAGGGAGTATAGGAACTGGCTACCAAATCTGGTACACGCCGACCCTTCGAGCGAACAGCATGGGTCGGATGAGCATCCTGCAAGGGCACCTGGACATCCCTGCGCGCGCGGAGGGCTTCACGAGCACCGGCTACTGCCCCCGGAAGTGCACCCAGGAGCTGTTTCCGTCAGGTGGCATCACGGTCACCAGCGTGAACTTCCACATGCACAAGAGCGGCCGCAAAGTCCAGCTCCAGGTGGTGCCTAGGCAGTCTTAGGGGATACTTCATCTTCCCCCTTGTTGGGGTTTCATGGGGTCTTATCTACCCGAAAACTCAAGCCCAAACCCCTAGACCAAGACCTTCCGACCTAGGTGCGTGACGGCAAAGAGATGCCGGACATTGCTCGGCTGGAGCCCTTCAGTGATGCGGGAGCCAGCGTGAACGTCGACTACAAGCTCTTGCCCGGGGACACCGTCAAGTTGCACTGCACTTTTGACAACCCGACAGATGAGGTTTCTGAGCGCCGTTTTTGAAAGCAGTTCAGTAGGTCCTGCTTCCCGGAGCCCCTAGCCCTAAACCCTAAACCCTAAACCCTAAACCCTATCCCTAAACCCTAAACCCTAAACCCTAAACCCTAAACCCTAAACCCTAAACCCTAAACCCTAAACCCTAAACCCTAAACCCTAAACCCTAAACCCTAAACCCTAAACCCTAAAACCCTAAACCCTAAACCCTAAACCCCAAACGTTGCCTCGTTTCGTTTTCCAGGGCTTGCCTTCCCCAGAGCAGCCAAGGTCCTGAAGTGGGGCGATGAGCGTTACGACGAGATGTGTGTGGTGAACTTTCTCTACTACCCGAAGATGCTGGGATGAATTGTCGACCCATCCTTAAACCTCTGGCCCACTTTTTGCCTCCCTTGACCACAGGAAAGAAGTGTCCAAAAGACAGGTGCTGGCATGGCCCGGGTGCCTGCGAAAGGTTTCAGGAGGCTTTGCAAGACCAGGGTGCGACACTTCCTGTCCCCCATCAGCGGCCAAGGACAGACCTGGCCTCTTGCGCTGATTTCGCGGGGGGCAACACAGAGACCAGGATGCCCAGTAGTGCCCTTATGCCCTTTTTTGTGGGTTTAGGTTCCCTTATAAACCCTTTAAGCATTTTAAGCCTAGGTTACTGGGCAGCCTAGGAGATGTGGTCTCCGAGCTCGGGGCTCCAGAGCATGTGCAGCACCTACTGCCAGCTGGAGGCTCAGAGAACTTGTGGAGATTCTTGATCTATGGCCTGCGCGTAGCTCTGAGCCCTAAACCCTAAGCCCTAAGCCCGAAGCCCTAAGCCCTAAGCCCTAAACCCTAAGCCCTAAACCCTAAACCCCGAACCCAGGCAGGGTCAGAGCTGTGGACCTGGTGGCGTCTGTGAGCAGATCAACTTCAACGACGCGGGCTGCATGAAGTGTGCTTGCGTTTCGGCGGGCAAGGGTTTAGGGTTCAGGGTCTAGGGTTTAGGGTTTGGGGGTTAAGGGGTTTAGGGTTTAGGGTTTGGGGTTTAGAGTTTAGGGGTTTAGGGGTTTAGGGTTCAGGGTTCAGTGTGTAGAGGCCTCAGCCGTAAACGCTCAAACCCACTAAAAGCTTGAAATGCCGGAAGGCCTCCATTGCGAGCAAAGCCCGAACCAGCAAGCGCCACTAGCCGCCAGTCCCTGAACCCGAAGCCCTCCATCCCGAACCTCACAGGAGGGCTTCAGGTTTCATTCGGATGTTCTGTAAGGGCTTCTGTCCTGAAACTGACATCCCAGTTCCTGTTTTTTTTTTGGGGGGCGGGGCGGGGGGATTTAAGAGGTTCAGGGTAAGCCTTGAACCCTAAACCCGAACCTTGCGGTTCCAAGGCAAAGCTCGGCTTGCAAGAAAACACCTCGTTGAGGCGGTTTAGGGTTTAGGGTTTAGGGTTTAGGGTTTTGGGTTTTGGGTTTTGGGTTTTGGGCATTCCTGGCATCACAGCGTCCTCAAACTGAGGTTGTTTCTTCAGTAGGGGCCCATGCTAAGTTTCTGTGATCGTAGATCCCTGAAGGACCCTACTAAATCCTAAACCCAAAAGTCTAAACCCTGTAAAGGCCCCCTGGTTCTGAGTAGGGAACGAGGGAATGAGAGCCCTACATAATCCCCATTAAGGGATTATATAGGGCTCTCATTCCCTCGTTCCCTACTAAGAACCAGCCAGACGGGTTTAAGGGCTTGCTTACGGGGTTGCGGGTTGAACCCTGAGGCCGTGAGCCCTGTGGCCTTGGGTTCATGAGGTCTGCTTGGCAGCCAGAGTGCGGGCGGAGTTCGGAAGTTCCCAGTGGTTGTTTTGGGTTTTGTTTTAGGGTTTAGGGTTTGCAACTGAATTTGGAAACTCACACCACACCAGGCCCGCACCAACATCACAGCCATGGCATGCAGAACCCACAGAACTGACTACAGTGACGGCTCAATGAGGAACATCCGTCGACAGTTAAGCATGTCGCCCTCAAAACAACATCGACAGTGCTTGCCGTGTATGGTCTGTGGGCTCAGCAAGCCAACTACCGCCCTGTCGCCAGAGGTCCTTTGTGCGATTGGCCGAAGCCGCGGGTGTATTGCACCAAAACTGCTGGGGATAGCATCAACGTCTTTGTTCCTTGCCCGCAAGAAGACTAGGATTAGCTCGAGCCCCCCCCCCCCCCCAAAAGAAACAAAAAAATAACAGAGGAGAGAAAGTCATCCCTAAAAGAAATTACAACTGTCACAGACCGTCATGAAAAGATTTTAAAGTGTTTGTTTGTGGGCTTCCTGAAGCACATCCTAGAATAACCCTAAACCCTAAACCCTAAACCCTAAACCCGAAACCCGAAACCCGAAACCCGAAACCCTAAACCCTAAACCCTAAACCCTAAACTGCTTGAGGTGATGGCTTGATGTGATGGCTAAAGGTGCCATTCGGTGGCGTGCGTTCGACTGCTAGTCCAGTCACTTGCTGATAGCTAACCCTAAATCCTAAACCACAATTACCGATATATTAGGGTTTAGGTTTAGGGTTCAGGGTTTAGGGTTCAGGGTAAACCTTGAACCCTTCGTGGGCATAGGCGCGCCGCGTCGTGGGCATGCCGGTTCGTTGGCATAGGCACGCTGGTTCGTGGGCACAGGCACGCCGGTTCGTAGGCATAGGCACAACGCTTCGTGGGCACGGGCACCCCCCCCCCCCCCCCCCCCCTTGTTGTTCGAGGGTGGCGGTGGCGGGGGTTTTAGCTTTGCTTAATTGGTATTAGGGTTTAGGCCCCTTGGGTATGGAGCCTCAGGTTTATATGGATTGAGTGGACTTTGTCTTTTCTTAATGTTATGGGATTCTTTGAGCAGGCGGGTATCTTCCCGTCCCTGGAAAAGCTGCTTGACTAATGAAAGCTAGATTGTGAGATGCTGAACCCGAAGCCCTAGACCCTAGACCCTAGACCCTAGACCCTAGACCCTAGACCCTAGACCCTAGACCCTAAACCCTAAACCCTAAACCCTAAACCCTAAACTCTTCGTTCTTTCACTTAGGAGGATCCTCTGCTTTGCCCGAACTGTATGCAGGCACTCGGGGAGAAGAATCTTTGGGAGTTTCAACGTTCGGCGTGTTTGGGTTTGGGGTTTAGGGTTTCGGGGTTTAGGGTTTAGCGTTTAGGGATTTGGGATGTTTTGTGTAAGGGGAGTTACAATGTCCCTTAATGAGCCTTAATGTGGTTGGCCCCCCTACTTGCTTTAAAGGGTTCTGAAGTATGGGCCCTTGGGTTTTTCGGGGCCCATACCAAAGGACCATGCAACTACAATACCCTAAGCATCTGGCTTGTGCAGAAAGGTCAAGGCATATGTCTTTCCTTACTAGCTCTTAATACAGAATTGGGGAATTAGGCACCTTCTATCTCTCTATCTGGCCCTCGCAGGGATGAAATAGCAACCGTTCTGAAATTCCCTACTAAGAACCAGCAAGTTCATGTGAGATGTTTGGCTCTCTGCTTTGGCGTTTGCTGGTTGAGGGTCCAGGGCTTAGGCTTTCGGAGCCCTAAGCCCACAGCACTAAACGTGATGGTTGAGGATGTCAGTTTTCGATTCCTTCCGGCTCGAGGGCTTCTTGAAAGGGGTTAAGGGTTAGGGTTTAGGGTTTAGGGGTTTCGTTGTGGGGTTCTTAAGGGAGGGGGTTGGTACCTAGGGAGCCTTAGGGAAGCTTAGGGAGCCTTAGGGAGTAGCAGGGAGTATTCGGGAACTTTAGGTTACATACCCCCCTTTTTTGAAACCCCCCCTCCCTCAAGAACCCTGTAATTTCAACAAAAAGTGAACCCAGAGTCCTGGGACAGCTCAGGCCGTGATGCGGGCATATTAGAATGCTACTCATACACTTGTTACCGCCCTAATATCGTGTTAACGGGGAGGCATTAAGGACGTACATTAAAAGCCCCAATTATAATATGAATGTTGGGAATGAAAGCAAACCCACAAACTTTTGTCCTGAAGGCCCGAAGGCAGAATGACTTAGGGACTGGGTAAGTAACCTTTCACCTTTTTGATTATACAGAATCCTACTATGTATGATGGATCAACCTTTTTTGGGCTAGGGTATTCAGCCCCTAGGATGAAGAGCAAATTCTGTGCTCGTTGAGGCGGCTGGAGCAAGCGTGCGCCAGTTGATATGCTTGAGAGAACTTTCAGATGCAAAGACTCGGGCCGTCTCCAAACCCTAAACCCTAAACCCCAAACCCTCAACCCGAAACCCTAAACCCCAAACCCGAAACCCTAAACCCCAAACCCTCAACCCTGGAAACCCTAAACCCCAAACCCTCAACCCTGGAAACCCTAAACCCCAAACCCGAAACCCTCAACCCCAAACCCTCAACCCTGGAAACCCTAAACCCTCAACCCCGAAACCCTAACCCAAAACCCTAAACCCCAAACCCTCAACCCCGAAACCCTAAACCTTGAACCCAAAGACTCCCGCAATGCCAGGACAAGACCGCGCCGGCAGAGCCCCACGTGACGGATGACGGATGCCGGGGGGCTCGACTCGCTTACGGGCTCTGAAGAGGGTTTAGGCCGTTTAGGCCGTTTAGGGTTTAGAGTTTAGGGTTTAGGGTTTAGGGTTTAGGGTTTAGGGTTCCGTGTTTCACCCTAAACCCTAAACCTTTTTTTCAACCCTGAAAGAGTCAGCATTGGGGAGGTGATTGCCGAGGCTCTTTTTTTATAGGAACCGACCAGCCCCCCAGCCCTACTGTAGTCCCTAAGCCTGAGGGTTTAGGGTTTAGAGTTTACAGGGTTTAGGGTTGAGTGTTCAGGGTTTAAGGTTTAGGGTTAACAAACCGAGTCTATAGCATAATCGTTAAACTGAAACAACTCTCTAAACCTTTTCCTTTTTGTTATATGACATTTTGTATCCCAGGTATGACTTAAAGCTGCCTCTGTGTCTTGACTTGTACAACGAGTATGTCCCACAAAGTTTAGATTGCATACGTAGTACCCTAAACCCTAAACCCGAAACCCTAAACCCTAAACCCTCTGCCCCGAATGTTTTAGCAATTCGTCGGCTCCATCTTGCAGAAGAGGATGTAAGACATAGGGTTGGTTCCAACTCTGCAGGGGCCCCGAAACCTGCACCCGATAGCCCAAACCCTTAGCCCTAAACGTGTTTAGGGTTTAGGGTTTAGGGGTTCCTAAACCCCTAAACCCTTAAATCCCACATTGGCCCACGATTTAGAGGCCTCACCATACGGGGGTTTACGAAAATAAGGGATCCCTACCAAAGACCCCAAATCGTAGGATTCCCTTATAGTGAGAAGGGCCCCCCCCTAGTGTCGGAACCCCCTATATGATCACAAAGCGCCATTCGCGCCAACAAGGGGTCTGCTATCTTGAGGAGTGTGCAGAACCCAAGCCTTGACTTGGGGCTTACTAGGGTTTCAGGGGTTCGAGTTGTCTTTTTCTAGCAGGTTCTTAAGGTTTTTGCAGGTCTGCCGGTTTTGTTTGAAGGGCTCGGGTCCTTAAACCCTAAACCAAACTGTATAAACACCATGGGTAGCTGCGGAGGTCCCCAGTACAACTTCTCCGAGATTGGGAGCAACGGCCCTGACGGGAGTAGCACAACCGCGGCTGGCCGCAACCTCAGGGGACCTCTCGATGTCAGGATTGAAAGTTAGGGTTGAGGGTTTAGGAAAGTTCAGGGTGTGGGTGGATTTTTTGGTGCAGACAATTGCAGACAACTATCAGGAAGATGTATCGTTGGAGGCTATCTCATGTGGCTCATGGTTTTCTCCCTGCAGAGTTGTCTCTTGTGGTTTCTGCAAAAGTTCAGTGACTTGGCACAGACTTTCACTTCATCGTTCCGAAACCTGGGTTGTAGTCACCAAGACATACCTCTTGACCATTACTAAAGGTCTTAGTTGTCCAGTAACCTGGGGGAATTCAAGGTTAACCTTTGGGATTTTATAGGGATTAGAATACCCCAAAAAAGGTTAAAGGTTACCTACTCTGCTACTCAGAGGTGCTTCGGCCCCTGAGGTCCGGGATCGGGCACTGAGCCTGAAGGCGGCGGACCTTCTGGGAGCAGCACGACCCAAGGCATCAGCATGACTACTATTTGCTTAAGAACCCCAAAAGAACAAAAACCATAATCCCTGTATGACCCTTAATAAGGACGAACATTATTTGCGGGGTTCTTGAGCAATTAGTAGACGAGCGAGACGGTGTACAGTGTTGTTCACCCCTTTCTTCAAAAGTTTTGCCTCGGAGGTGCGGGCTTGACAGATGATGCGCCTGCTTCTGGCAGCTTCTTGGAGTCTTGGCGGCATGGTGGGGGTTGATCTAGCTCCCAAGCCTTCAGGTCTTCAGGTGTAGGGCTCAAACGCTAAACCCTAAACCCTAAACCCTAAACCCTAAACCCTAAACCCTAAACCCCCAAACCCTAAACCCTAAACCCTAACCCCTAAACCGTTAGGTTTTAGACCCTCTTCGTGAGAAACCCGCAGCACTTCTGGGCGGCGGGTGCGGGGCTGCTAGAATCGGAGCTCACATGCCCACCAGTCCCAGCCGTTGGCCGAAATCATGGGGGCTACTAGGGTTCGGGGTTTTAGGGTTTAGGGTTTAGGGTTTAGGGTTTTAGGGTTTAGGGTTTAGGGTTTAGGGGTGAGGGTTTGAGAGTTTCTTAGTAGCTGAATGAGTACACTTTACACTTTTTGGGATACTATAACCCCTATAGAACTGAAAGTGTACACTTTTTGGGCTTATGAGTTCAGCAACTAAGTTTGAGAGTTGGGGTTTCGGGTTTCGGGCACCCATTCAAACCTGGCATGGGTCTGATGGTTCTGGAAGTGTGGAATGCGAGCTTTTCTCTGCGGGGGCTGCAACCCTAAACCCTAAACTCTAAAGCCTAAACCCTAAGCCCTAAACCCTAAACCCTGCTTTGGAACTGCCCATATACATTGGGATGTTCCCCCTTGTGCTGACCGTCCTTAATAGGTATTATAGTACCCCCTATTGTAATCCTTCTTAAGGACTGTTAGTATAAGGGGGAACATCCCAACTTATACGTCCTACGCAACAGCATACCCATAGTCCGAGACAACGCCAGGCTTGGCTGCTTCCTCTTTTTGCTGCGGGGATCGAGGCCTGCTTGCTGCAGCCGTTTGGGGTTTGGGGTTTAGGGTTTAGGGTTAGAGTGCGGGGTGAGGAGAAGTGGTGGATAGGGATCTGGGCGGTTCGGGGCTTTTGGGGCTTTCAGGATTCTCGGTACCTACCCTGAGGCCCGTGAGCGTTGCTCTATGTTAGGGCATCGAATGGGCTTTTTTCATGAGGGAACGAACTCTCTTTCAGCCCTATCTTTCAGCCCTAAACCTTGCACCCGAAAAACCCTAAACCCCAAACCCACGAAGGTCACCTGCAAGGTGATCCTCTTGTGAAGTTGCGTGTTGAACTGTGGTGCAAGAGAGATGCATCCAAGCCCGAATCCCTGAGCGCTACAAGTTCTCTTCTCGCAGTCTTGAGTTCCTGGCCAGGCCTCCTGATCAGCTGCGGCAACGGATGGGAACCCTGCGTTTCTGTTTCTGATGTGGAGAGTCTTCAGGAGCTTGAACCCCAAACCCTAAGCCCTAAACCCTAAACCCTAGCAGTGGCGCAAGGCTGCCTTATTGAACTCCAGGGGGTCTGCCTTAAGCCCTGGGTGCTTCAGGTCAAGAAAGGTAGGGGCCTCCCCCGACAGGTAGGGCGTCCCGGTGACAAGTCTGGTGTGAACCCCAAGGGTTCCCACTTCTTCCTGTCTCTGCGGGAGCAGGATGCCAGGCGAAGGGCCCTCAGCTCTAGGGTTTAGGGTTTAGGGTTTAGGGTTTAGGGTTTAGGGTTTAGGGTTCAGGGTTCTGGGTTCAGGGTTCAGGGTTCAGGGTGTGTAGGTGGACCTTAAAGCGCCCCAAGCCCTACACACGCCGTGGTCAAGCGGGCGCAGGAGCCTCATCCCTTGTCCGCCTACTCCCTAAAAATAGGGGGCCTTAGGGTTTTGGGGGTTATTAGAGTATATATATATATATATATATATATGTATAAATATGTATGTATGTATATATATATATCTATATATATATATATATGTATATGTATATATAGAGAGAGAGGGGCCATAAGGGATTCCGACCCCTCCCCTTAAACCCATGCTCGAAGGATGGATCGCTGTAGGTGTTTAGGATTTACGGGTTTAGGGTACAGGGTTGAGGGGAGTCAACTCAATTTTACCTAAATAAAACAGCTTGCCTAAAGTGCATCTCTATATATATATATAGAGTATATATGTATATAGAGTATATATATATATATGCATGGTTGCAACGATGAATGAATGAGCCAAAAGAAGTCTAAAGGGAGGACTCCCCCGAACCCTCAACCCCCCACTTGACAAGCCATTTTTTTGCTCGGAGGGTTTGGGTTTAGGGTTTAAGGGTTTAAGGGTTTAAGGGTTTAAGGGTTTAAGGGTTTAAGGGTTTAAGGGTTTAAGGGTTTAAGGGTTTAAGGGTTTAAGGGTTTAAGGGTTAAGGGTTTAAGGGTTTAGGGTCTAGGGTTTAGGGTTTAGGGTTTAGGGTTTAGCCAACCTGGGACATCCCCAAGCAAGCAAGAGTAGCAGTTTCGCAGAAGAGCTGAGGGCTCAGGGTTCTGGGTTGTGCGCCCACTTCTGGGAACTGCCCCTCGATGGCCCTCGGCCGTTTTCCAGCAGTCAGTTCCTTCGGCTTGCGAATTTCCAACTCTGCGATGCTCAAGGTCTCGCAGGGAGACGTTTCGGATGCGAGAGCGAGCGAGAGCCAGAGAGCGAGAGCGAGAGAGAGAGATAGAGATTGAGGACCACGGCAAACAAAACTGCGGTGTTCTGGGACTGGAAAAATTTGAGGACAGGGGAGAAGGTACAGGTGGCTCCTCAAGAGGCCTTATTGCAGGAAGGCCGTGAGCCAGAGAAGCAGAAGTGAGGACTTTATTGGCATCAAGTATACTTAAACCTCATACACTCGGAGAGCCGATTCACGGAACAGGGCACCTCTCGGGGGGGGAGGGGGGGCAGGGTTTAGGGTTTAGGGTTTAGGGTTTAGGGTTCAGGGTTTAGGGTTTAGGGTTTAGGGTTTAGGGTTTGGGGTTTAGGGTTTAGGGTTTAGGGAGGAGTCCGGAGCTGCGAAAGAGGACAAGTCAGTGCAAGAGTCTCCGGCGCCGGCAGGAGGAGCCAGGTCGCCAGGGTCGCAGGCAGAGTCCCCAGCGCCGGCAATCGAGTTCAAGCTTTCCCGTTGGGCGGTTTTTGCAGCTTTGTTCCCGGAAGTATAGCAGCCCTTGCTGGGAAGGCGCGCTGGGCGCTGCTTCCGTCGCCGAGATATCTGCATTGTCAAGCTCCTCAACCCAGAGCTTAAAAAACCCAAATCCCCAACCTACTCGCGAAACCCCATCTCCCCAACCCACTCAGCTTTCTCCCCAAAATAGGCTGTGCATGCACAACCCCTTCGAGATACCTGCATTGTCAAGCTAAACCCTAAACCCTAAACCCTAAACCCTAAACCCTAAACCCTAAACCCTAAACCCTAAACCCTAAACCCTAAACCCTAAACCCTAAACCCTAAACCTAACCCTAAACCCTAAACCCTAAACCCTAAACCCTAAACCCTAAACCCTAAACCCTAAACCCTAAACCCTAAACCCTAAACCCTAAACCCTAAACCAAGCACCGGTTGAGCAAACATCTCTTGCAAGCCGAATCTTCTCCATTCATCGCAGGCCGAAGCTTTTAAATTGATTGCCAGATCGCTGCCGGGCTCCCGCGTGTAGGGTTTAGGGTTTAGGGTTTAGGGTTTAGGGTTTAGGGTTTAGGGTTTAGGGTTTAGGGTTTAGGGTTTAGGGTTTAGGGTTTAGTGTACTAGCCCAATGTTGTAAGGCGATCTTCGTCTGAGGAGCCCGTGTAAAGGTTTGCCGACAAGTGCGCAAGACTGCTGCTGACGGTGGAAATCTGCTTTGTGCATGCGAGTGGCAAGCGATTGGGGCTAAACTTAAGGCCAAATCTCCCAACCTCCCCGGCCCCCGACACGTAAACGGTTCGGGGGTTAGGTTCCTCCTATATCTCAAACCCGAAAGTTCGAAAGCCCAGGCCCAAAGCCCCAAACCCAACCGCAGCTATTGGGGCTGCCAGTCTTGGTTCGCGATGAAACGCCCAGGTTGCAAGCACTGTGTACAAGGAACTTGGAGTCTCAGGGGGTTCCTCACCGAGCAGAGACTAGGCACGAGAGTAGCGTTCAGGGCGGAGTTTAGTGTGTAAGGTTCAGGGTTTCAGCCCAGAAGCCAAAGTCCGCCCGCACCAAGCAACCCGAAGTCCATCCCTTCGTGCTTGTCCCAGTAATGTGCCTCACGCGGTCCGCCCGTGACAGACCGAGGCCCACTTGGGGATTTCTTCTTGTGGGGCGGGGGGAGGGGAGGGGTATCTCGGGAGGGAAAAAGGGGTCTGAGGGGCTTGGGGGTTATCCCCGCTACGCTCCAAATTAAAGTACAGGGAGATGAACCCTATAAGAACGCTTCATCAATTGACATCGTATTTAAAACCCTCAACCCGATTCAGTGCTCTGGGGGTCCGTGGCCTTCTCTCCAGAACCTGTGCTTTGAGGCGAGGGCAGGTTTGTGGGGTTGATGGGCTTATAGGTCTTAGGTTCGGGCTTAGGGCTTAGGCTTAGGGTTTGGGATTTAGGGTTTAGGGTTTAGGGTTTGGGGTTTAGGGTTTTGGGTTTTGGGTTTAGGGTGTAGGGTTTAGAGGAGCCAGGAGGTCGTATGTCGCGAAAGCCTAAACCCTCAACCCCTTGACTCCTCCCTGCTGTAGAGTGCTTTGGGGCCACGGGCCCTGGAGCCATCACCACCTCCGCAAGCGTGCTTCCTGAGGGGGTGGGGGTATGTCGGGTTATCTTATAAGGGTGTAGGATTCAGGGTTCAGGGCTTAGGGTTTAGGGTATAGGGTTTAGGGCAAAAGGGAGGTGAAGGTTCAGGAGGTAAGGACTTTGTCAATTTCCCTTCTCTTGCAGGTGGTGATGCGCGGCGCGCAGTCCCAGTCCTGCCCCCAGAGCCCCGTGCAAAGTAGGCCCCGAAGAAGCCTTGGGGTGGGGGTTTGCGGGTTCATGAGTCAGGGCCCAGAGCTAAACCCTAAACCCTAAACCCTGAACCCTGAACCCTGAACCCTAAACCCCAAACCCTGAACCCTGAACCCTGAACCCTGAACCCTAAACCCTAAACCCTCAAAGGGGACGCTCAAGGTATGGAGCTTAGGGTTTGGATCTCAGGGAGTCAGAGGGTTCGGGCTGAAGGTGCACGGCTTGGGGTGCAGGAGACCGCCCACAGCATGGCCAGCTTCCGAATCCACACCGAGGGTTTAGGGTTTAGGGTTTAGGGATTAGGGATTTGGGTTTAGGGTTTAGGGTTTAGGGTTTAGGGTTTAGGGTTTAGGGAGCCCATTTGTTAGCCCTGGCTTCCGCTTTGATGGTTTAGGGTTTAGGGTTTTGGGTTTAGAATAGAGACGAGCCAAGGGATCAAAGAGATGCAGCCGCCCACCCCAAACCTGAACCCTCCTCCTTACAACCCCGCTTCCACCCGGCCCCCTCCCCCCCCCCGGCCTAAACCCTAAACCCTAAACCCTAAACCCTAAACCCTAAACCCTAAACCCTAAACCCTAAACCCTAAACCCTAAACCCTAAACCCTAAACCCTAAACCCTAAACCCTAAAACATAAACCATAAACCCTAAACCCTAAACCCTAAACCCTAAACCCTAAACCCTAAACCCTAAACCCTAAACCCTAAACCCTAAACCCTAAACCCTAAACCCTAAACCCTAAACCCTAAACCCTAAACCCTAAACCCTAAACCCTACACCCCCACCCCAGAGGCCGGACTTCGCCGGCATCCCTCCGTCCCTCCGCAGATGCCTCGGCCTGCGAAAGCCTAAACGCCCGACACTGCTTCGGGCTTAAGCTCAACTTAGGGTTTAGGGTTTAGGGTTCAGGGTTTAGGGCTTAGGGCTTAGGGCTACCCCAAGCCCTACACTCTGAACCTTTGGGGGTGCTAAAGTTTCAGGAGTTTAAGATTTGTGGGGGGGGGGGGGGGGGGTTGGGCCCAAACCCTGAGCCCAACCGGCGATTTGGGAGAAGGGTTGACCAGATCTCCTTTTTTCCGTTTGACAAAGACCTAGCACAAACAAGGGAGCCCCAAGCCCTAAACCCAAAGCCCTAAACCCTGAACCCTAAACTCTAAACCCCATTACTCACCAGGGAACTCTTGGGCTTTGGGGGGGAGGGGGGGGGGGGGGTTATGGAAACTTTGGAGGCTTCTTGTCTTGGGTTGCTGGGGATGTGGCGGTTTAGGGGTTGTGGTTTAGGGTTTAGGGTTTAGGGTTTAGGGTTTAGGGTTTAGGGTTTAGGGTTTAGGGTTTAGGGTTTAGGGTTTAGGGTTTAGGGTTTAGGGTTTAGGGTTTAGCGTTTAGGGTTTAGGGTTTAGGGTTTAGCGTTTAGGGTTTAGGGTTTAGGGTTAGGGTTTAGGGATTAGGGGTTCGAGGCTTCGGGGGCTTTCGATATCGGACCCCAGGGCTTGAAGCCCTAGGATGACGCAGCGCAGGGACCCGCAGCAAAGCCACACCCCCTCCCAGACTTCTACGACGGTTTCGTCCCATAAAATGCCCAAAAACCCTGGAAGCCCCAAACAGCCCTAAACCCTAAACCCTAAACCCTAAACCCTAAACCCTAAACCCTAAACCCTAAACCCTAAACCCGAATCCCTAAACCCTAACCCCTAAACCCTTGCAGAACCCAAAAGTTGCTGAAGCCCCAAAGCCCACAAGCCAAAGCAAGGTTTCGGGCTTGTAGGGCTTACAGGGCTTATGGGGGTGGGGGGGGGGGGTTTAGGGTTTAGGGTTTAGGGTTTAGGGTTTAGGGTTTAGGGTTTAGGGTTTAGGGTTTGGGGTTTGGGGTTTGGGGTTTGGTGTTTAGGGCTTAAGTTTAGGGCTCCAAAGCCCTACCGCAACAGGCCAGCATGCGCGGAACCTCGCCAGCTGGTTCCCTGAGGTGCAGTCTCAGAGTTTACCAAAAGAACACCGAAACCCTAAACCCTAAGCCCTAAACCCTAGACCCTTTGGGCATCGCGGGTTGTCGACATGGAGCTTCGGGGTTGTTTCGCGCTCCATCCTCCAGGGCGTAGTGCACTGTCAACGGGGCTTGGTGTCCTAGTTCCCTAAACCCTAAACCCTAAACCCCAAACCCCTGAACCCTCAGCCCTACTCTTCATCTGCCAGGAGCTTGAGGAGGCTTTTGGGCAACAGTTTGGGGAGAGTCGAAACCTGCCCCCAAACTCCGAACGCACCCTAAACCCTAAACCCTAATCCTAAACCCCAAACCCTAAACCCGAAACCCTAAACCCTAAACCCTAATGGGGTTTCGTGCCTTAACCCTGGTTGGACGTAGTTTCTGGGGATGGTTTGATGCCTTTAAAGGCAACTGAGGTTTGGCGTTTAGGGTTTAGTTATGGTTTAGGGTTTACGGTTTAGGGTTTACCACTTAACGCAAAATCTATGAGAGGACCCCCCCCCCATTAGGGATGGGTTTCAGTCGCGTCCTCTTGTGCAAGTTTCGCATCGCGGGCGCGTAACACGGGGGATTTGCATTCCCAGCCGGGTTCCCTGATAAGTCTGATTCTCAAGCTATGCTCTGAGGACTACTTCTTGATTGATTGATGATGATGGAGATTGGCTGATCGTCGATGTGTGTGTATGTGGGCACATCAAGAAGTTTACAACTGGAGACTTCACCCCGAGTACTTTGTACAAAGCATCTTGGCCATCAACCATGTGACCATGTGTACCTGCCACACTACTGGCCGGTGACATATTTATCCTGCACGCTGTGCATGGTTTGTCGTGATGATATTGCCGCTGTGCAATCTGCCTTGGTCAGCAACTCGTATTCTCATGCCACTCGGAGTTGCGGTTTATGTGTCTTGGGATGCAAGCAGATGGTGGCGTCGAGGGAGGAACCCCAAACCCTAAACCCGAAACCCGAAACCCGAGACCCTAAGCCCTGAACCCTGAACCCTAAACCCTAAACCTTAAGTGGAATCAGCACAACGTGCATTGCACGTGTGTATGCACGCTCTCACCTTGCACGCGTGTGCCACCCTTGGTTTGCATGCAGTGCATGGGCCAGGGTATCCAATCCCAATCCCCAAACCCCAAACCCCAAACCCAAAATCCTAAAACACTAAAACCCTAAACCCCAAACCCCAATCCCCAAACCCCAAACCCTAAACCCGAAACCCTAAACCCTAAGCCCCAAACCCTAAACCCCAAACCCTAAACCCTAAGCCCCAAACCCTAAACCCTAAGCCCCAAACCCTAAACCACAAACGCTGAACCCTAAAACCCAAACCCTAAACCCCAAACCCTAGACCCCACCTAAACCCTTCCTGCAGGTCGTGGCAGTCCTGGGCGCGGCCGACCTCGAGGAGAGAGTTGGAGGGAGCGTTGTGGGGTGCAGGGTTTAGGGTTTAGGGTTTAGGGTACTGGGTATATGGTTTAGGGTTTAGGGTGTGCTGGGTTTAAATCCTAACCTTGAAACCCCCTACAGCCCTAAACCCTACCCTAGACCCTAAACCCTAAACCCTAAACCCTAAACCCTAAACCCTAAACCCTAAACCCCAAACCCCAAACCCCAAACCCCAAACCCCAAACCCCAAACCCCAAACCCCAAACCCCAAACCCTAAACCCTAAACCCTAAACCCTAAACCCTAAACCCCCACCCCAGGCAGCGTTTGATCAGACCGTTGGTAGCAAAAGGATCTCATGCCGCAGCTGGCCGACCCCCAAACCCCTAAACCCTGACCCTTCCCAGGGGTTAGGGTTTAGGGTTTAGGGTTTAGGGTTTAGGGATGAGGGTTGAGGGTTGTGGGTTGAGGGTTGAGGGTTTAGGAATGAGGGCAATGACGGCCAATCCGTAGACCGAAGACCTCAGCCATGCTCAGAGTGCCCCGGTCGCCCCTAAACCCTAAACCCTGTTAACCCTAAACCCTAAACCCTAAACCCCAAACCCTAAACCCCAAACCCGAAACCCTAAACCCTAAACCCAGGACAAGTTTCGGCAAGGGGCCGTCCATGTCCGTGAGCACGAGGCTGGGAAGACCGTCGAGGCCGGCGGGAACAAAAGAGTTCTAGGACCCAGAGCAGGCCCTTATTCCCTGTTGTTAGGTTTGGGTTCGCTTATAGTATAAGCCCTCTAAACCGAAAAGGGCACCCTTTTTATTCCTACTCTTCGGGAATGAGGATAAGGATGCTCCAAACCTAAACCCTAAACCCTAAAATCCTAAATCCTAAACCCTAAACCCTAAGCCTTTACTGTAAGCGCTGAGCGCCTCACAGACCTCGCCGGTTTAGGGCTTGGGGGGCCTCGGGGGCTTTTTCGCGTGTTGAGGACGTTCAGGGTTTAGGGTTTAGGGTTCAGGGTAGTTTCAAGGGTTTCAAGGAGGGTTTCATGGTTTAAGGGTGCAGGGTCTAAGGGTTCGGGGGCTTAAACCCGAGATAAAGACAAACCCTACACCCTAAACCGCAAACCCCAAACCCAAAACCCGAAGCCCGAAACCCGAAGCCGCAGCTCAGTCGCCCTGAGGTGGTGCTCCCAAAGAAGGAGCCAAGCCACCAGCAGGCCACCATGAGGGTTCAGGGTTTAGGGTTTAGGGTTCAGGGATCAGGGTTTAGGGTTTAGGGTTTAGGGCAGATTTTCTGGGCTTCGGATGTTGAGTGTTGGGCGGTGAGTCGACCGTCATCCCTCAACCAGCCTGCACGCAGACCCCAAACCCTAAACCCTAAACCCTAAATCTTAAACCCTAAACCCGAAACCCTGAACCCTAAAGCGCAAACCCTGAACCCTAAACCCCAAACCCTAAACCCGAAATCCTGAACCCCCTCACAGCCCTGGCGTTTCAGCCAAGGGTCCAGCTCAAAGGAAAGGGAGCAGAACCGAGGGTGAAGGTTGAGGGTTTAGGCCTTCTGCAGGGTGCCTGCGGGCGGGTGCGGTGGGAGCCTCATGCTAGGGTCATGTCCGTGGTTTTAGTTCGATGAGGGTTTAGGGTTTAGGGTTTAGGGTTTAGGGTTTAGGGTTAGGATTTCGGGTTCTCTATACCCTAAGCCCGAAGCCCAAAAGATTACCGGTTGTGGCTCACGACCATAAGCAGGATAGCCCCAGCCCTGGGGATTTTCGACTGTAAGGAATTAAGAAGTCCTCCAGCCTGCGAATCCCCTGCAAACCCTCCCTGGAACCCCCCAAACCCAAAATCCTAAGCCCGATAAACCCTAAACTCCCCAAAACGAAGCCCCCGAAACTCCCCAAACCGAAGCTCCGAAACTCCCTAAACACCCCAGGCCCGCCGAAACTCCCCAAACTCCCTAACCCCTGAACCCCCTAAGCTCCTTAAACCCCTCATACTTGGAGGGTCAGGGTACTTAGTAATCCACTTGGAGGTTTAGGGTTTAGGGTTTAGGGTTTAGGGTTTAGGGTTTAGGGTTTAGGGTTTAGGGTTTAGGGTCAGGGCACTCATTAATTAACCTAACATTAGCTCCACTTGTAACCCAATTATAACCCATTCGGGTGCAGTCATTACTGGTTTATAAGTACCATGACCCTCCAAGTACAACCCCCCTAAACCCTAAACCCTAAACCCTAAACCCCTGGGGCCCGGATCCCTGGAAGGTCTCTGTGCCCGCAGCAGCGCCCAGGGATCTAAGCCAGCAGATGGCCCGCCTAGACAGGCGGTCTCAAGTGCGAAGCCCTAAACCCTAAACCCTAAACCCTAAAGCCTAAACCCTAAACCCTAAACCCTAAACCCTAAACCCTAAACCCTCACATGGGCTCTCGAGGCTTCGACCGAGGTCCCCGACCGACCGTCTCCACAGAACGGTGAGGGACAGACCTAGGGCGTAAGCCCTAATGTGTTTTGGTTTTTTTAGGGAGGTCGGAGGGTACCCCCGGCCGGGGTCTGGTCAAGTTGTCCTGCGCAATTTGCCCAAAAAAAGGCCATGCTGAGACCCTCCTGGGACTGGCGCCCCTACGACCATTTGAGACCCCTTCCTGGAAAATGCCGGGACCCCGACCCCTCTCTGGAACCCCCTCAAACGCCTTTGGCATCCCGACCCTTTTGACCTTATCAACTTGGCATGGCCTGGGCTATTCTAGGCCCTCAGCACTGCCAGCCCTTTGCTGCCATCTTGCTTGGGAGCAGGAGCCGGCCCAGGCCCCTGCGACCATCAGCCGTTTTGCTGTCCGTTGAGGGCCCCCTCACACTTCATCAAGCCAAAAAAAGGCGGGGATCCAGGATTTGTCCGGACCCGTAATGAAACTGCGAGTTTTTTAGTGTTCAAATGAACGGTTTTTAAGCCCTTCCATTTGCTCCGCGAAAGCCCGAACAAGGCCCACGAGCCACTAACGTGCTCCCAAAGGCTCCAGGAGGCCGCTGGGACCCCCCTTGCTCTTATTCGTCTCTTACAGTTCTGAAAGAAGTAAAAAGCAAGAAAGCCCCCCTTGAGGGGGGTTTTGGGGGGTGAACCCTAAACCCTAAATGAGAATAGTTTGGGTGGTTGGGGTGGGACTACCTGCTACTCAAGCGAGCGGCCCGGTGCTTTTAGCGCCAGCGAGCTTCCCTTCTATACATTTTGGCCAGTTTGATGGGATCTTTAGGTTGGGTCGATGGAATATCTCAATTCAGACACTAGTTCGATCAGCGTGTCCGCCGGATTTCTTGTTTTGGGTTAGCTTTCACACGTGGCCTTGGCTGTTCATCCTGAGTCAGCGAAATTCAGTGTCCGGGCCCCTGGTTTAAGGGTTCTATCTACCCCTAAATGGTCCCTATGACCCTGCGTTTTCGGATGGCCCAACTAGCCCACAATGTTCACTGGTCATGCTCAAGATAGCGTGTGGGGTTGTCAGTCTGCAGATTTCATCTTTGGTAGGGCTCAGTCTTTAGGGTAAAGGGTTCAGGGACGATCGTGTTTGGAGAATTCATGCATGGTTCGTGTAGGATTCGGAGAACTTCTACAAGACAAGTTGTGTTCTGGAGAAGTTCTTTTGCGCATTTTCAAGGGGTTCGGACCATGGCGCGATGGCAGCGTCTGGCAGAAGAGGCAGGCTGTCGGGCATGAGCGTTGGCGTGAGGTAAGTTGTCCCGTGACAGTGGCAGGAGGGGGAGATCAACACTAGCTCGGACGAGAAGGCCGTCGAAGCACGTTTTTTGAACGCGGTAATAGAACTTTGCCACGTTTACGAGTCGCAGGTAGGGGAGACACATTTTGTTGGTCAGGAAAACGAATCATCGAACTCGGACTCGTCAGTTGCCCGATGCCCAGTGTGGGAGCTGTTGCCGTTGAATTGATGTTTGACTTTGATGTTTGGCGGGCTCGACAGTTTTGAGGCTGTTGATGGGTGGGCATTCCTCACGTGCGTGCAGGTTCTGCCCAATGCCCAGTGTGATTCCTGATGTCCTGTGAAGGAGTTTCGATTTGATGTAGGTGGGCCTTTAGCCGTTAGCCTTTTTCAGGTTTCTCGCGGCTGCCGTGCCGTTTTTCTGGTGCTTCGCAGTGGCCACGGCGTGGATCTGAGCTCTGATGTTCAGGTTGTCCACATGCCCAAATGCGTGCTGCGAAGAGGCATATGTTGGGGTGGATTGTTTTGGTGCCGCTGGTTGACCACTTTTGGAATGCCCGTCGCCTGGTTGCAGCGGTTTTCCCAGACCAGTCCGTTAGAAGCGACCTGTTTTGAATTATAAGCTGTGCCTACCGGCTCCAGTTCATATACACCTTGCTTGCGCCTGGCTGGAATCCTGACCTCCCATCCAAAAATTCAGCCAGTGCCATAGGATTTCAGCCAGATCCAGGCAGAATCTCTGCAAGGATTTCTTCAGCCAGCAGACCCCCCGGGGGTTGCCGGTTCGTAACCGCCAAACATCGCTCCATTAAGGAATTCTTGAAATCCTTGGACCTGGACCCCCGAAGACCTCTAATTTGAATTCGGATAACTCGGTTCCTTGGCAGCCAAAAACGGCCTAAAACCGCTAGGTTGGAGAGGTTCGGTTCGAAACTCTGGGTCACTCTGGGTAGGTTGAAGGGGTTCGGCTCGAGGTTTTGTGCCCAAAGCGGCCTAAAGCAGCTCGAAACTCTCGGTGCATTGAACGGGTTCGGCTCGAAACCATGCAAAGCTCACTAAAGCAGCACCCTCAACCCTAAACCCTAAACCCTAAACCCTGAACCCTAAACCCTAAACCCTAAACCCTAAACCCTGGCCTAAACCCTAAAAGGAACAGGTTTGGGTGGCTTTGCTGCCTTGGGTTAGATGGCCCTCCGCAATCGGGCCAAAGCTGCTCTTCGCACCTCACGAAGCTTTCGAGCTTGGTCCGAAACCTAACCTTCACAGCATCTGCGCCCGTTCACACAGCAAACCCTAAACCCCAAACCCCAAACCCCAAACCCCAAACCCCAAACCCCAAACCCCAAACCCCAAACCCCAAACCCCAAACCCTAAACCCTAAACCCTAAACCCTAAACCCTAAACCCTAAACCCTAAACCCGCCCACCGCCCCACTCTCTTTGTCTTTTAGGGTAGGCGGGCGCTGGTCGCGAGGGAGCCCCAGGCGGGCGACCGAGCTGGCCTCCAGGCTGGCTTACCCTCCAGGCAGGCACAGGCCGAGTCAGCAGTTGTCACTGTATTCTTATCTTCCCTAAACCCCAAGCTGTCCGCACACAATGTTGGGTTCTGTGTTGGAGGCCCCCTGGGACGGCCCCTTGAGACCCCTGGTCCTTCACCCCCGTCCGCTGGGCTGAAGGGACCAGGGGCCGTTTTGTTGCTGGTCCTGGCCCTGGCCCGGCTCCCCCCTCCCTGCCCTTGGCCCTGGCCCTGACTGGCCCTGTTCGGGGGTTTTCCCACCTTGCCCCTCTTGCCCTGACTAGTTTTGCGCCCTGGCCCTGGCCCTGTTCGAGTCATCTTACCCCCTTGCACCACGCCAAGCTGTCCGCGCACCAGCTTGTGTCCTGTTTCGGGGCGCTCTGCCTGGCTTTCGCCCCTTCGCGCCAACCCAATCTGTCCTGCCTCGCTTCCGTTTGCTGCAACTTTGTGCCAAGCTATCCGCCACACCAGCCCTCTTTCCGTGGCGCTCTGCCCAGCCCAAGCTGTTCACTGTGTGTTCTTCCTGGCTGGAGCCCCTTCGCGCCAACCAAGCCTCGCTGCCTTTGTCTGTTCCTGGCCCATCCCTTCATAGCCCCTTCGCGCCAACCCAAGCTGTCTTCACGGACCCTGCCTCGTTTCCGTCTGCTGCAGCTTTGCGCCTGGTCCACGCACCTTGTGGAAATCCCCAAAAAGGGCGTGAGTGCTGACTCATGTGATGCTTTGTAAAAAAATAAAAGGTCTTAACTCCTTGAGAGTTGTAAGTGGGCGGTCTTGGGGTGGGTAGGTCTGCAGACTACCGCGCGCTCCCAAAGCGCGCTCCCGTTTGGCACGCCCTAAACCTAAACCCTAAACCCTAAACCCTAAACCCTACACCCTAAACCCCCTGGGCGCGTCTTGCCTTCAGGGTGTGAGGGGTGTTCAATGCTGTAACCCGGTTCAGGGTTTCGGGTTTCGGGTTTCGGGTTTAGGGTTTAGGGCTTGGGGTTTGGGGTTTAGGGTTTGGGGCTTAGGGTTTAGGGTTTGGGGTTTGACGGGCTTCTTAACAAGGCAGCTAAAGTTCTGGTTTAGCCAGCATGCCTGTGTACAGCCATGTTCAGGCGTGTTTGTTTGGGCTCTGGGCTGCCGAGGTTTGGAGGTTCAGGGTACTTCTTAACCCAATACTAACTGTACTTATAACACAATTATAAGCATATTGGGGCACTTAAGGGGCTTATAAGTGGGTGAAAAGTACAGTTATCGTTGGTTAATAAGTACCATGGAACCTCCAAGTAGGGTCTCTTTTGAACAGGACCTTTTTGTTTGTCCATATTTCACTCAAGGCTTGACTATCTGCCATGACCCCGTGCTGTCTGTCCTTGAAGCCTCCAATCCCAAAGCTGCGGTTTAGGGTTTAGGGTTTAGGGTTTAGGGTCTAGGGTTTCGGGTTTAGGGTTTAGGGTTTAGGGTTTAGGGTTTAGGGCTTCTAATCAGTGCTGTTGGGTGCCAGCACGCTAGCGCAAACGAGGGATTGTTGTTTGCAGTGCAGTGCGCTTCCGACTTTTGTGCGGGGAGCCCAACCTTTGTTTCGGAATTTACCCCTAAGGATGTACCCCTGAGAGATTCCCTTAACATACTCCTAATATGGCCCTTATGCCCCTAAACCCTAAACCCTAAACCCCAAACCACAAACCGTAAACCCTAATCTTGGCGGGACCTTGGACTATGGCCAGGCTGGCTGTCGACTTCGAATCCCTGGCCGCTCAGCTCAGGGCCGTCAACGCGGCCCAAGGCGCGGGGGGTCAGGGTTTCGGGTTTCGGGTTTAGGGTTTAGGGTACTTATTGGCCAGCCATAACTGTAACCCTAAACCCTAAACCCTCAAGTGCCCTAATATGGTCATCATTGGGTTATAAGTACAGCTAGTGTTGGGTGAATATACGTACCCCTGAACCTCCAAGTGGGGCCTCGATGCAAGGGTTTAGGTTCCCCCCTTTTTTTCATTGAAAAATATATGGTAACAATCCCTACATGCCCCTAATATTAGGGAGAACATTTTTGTGGTTTTTTGGGGATGGTTCTTAAGCAAAATGTAGTAGGTTTGGGGTGGAAGGGGTTTGTTGAGGGAGTGGACTTTCAGGGGGGAAAGGTCCACCCTTGCGGACCCCATTATCTTGAGGCCGGGGAGGGGGGGAGGGGGGGGGGGGCAATGTCTCTTTCAAGGGTTTGGGGTTTAGGGTGCAGGGAAGGCAAAGTCTACATGCTCCACACGAACTTGGAGAAACCGCCAGCTGGGGTTTAGAGCTTTTGTTTTAGGCCAAACCCTATAAGACCCCATTCCTAAAGAGCCGCCCAGATGCCGGAGCCTCGCAGGCCGCCACCGGGCGTGTTGAGTGTTGGGGGTGTGTGGCATTTGGGGGTGTAGGGTTTGGGGATAGGGTTCGGGGATTTGTGGCCCGATTCGGGATCTAGGATGCACGGTAGTGCCCTTATTCCCTTTTTTGTGGGTTTAGGTTCCCTTCTAAACCCCTTTAAGCAAAAAAGGGCACCCGTTTTAAGCCCAGGTTACTGGGCAGCCTAGGGATTCGGACTCGCAGGTTGAGTGTCGCAGCAGGGGAGGTGCTTTGGGTTGTTCTTTGTGGCCTTCCAGCCCTGTAGAGTTGAGGCCCCCAAACCCCCTGAACGATAGATGCCACGTGTAAAGCCAGCAGCGGCCATGTGGGCTTCCCCGCACATGCAGAGATGAGGGGGGTTGGGGGGTGGTGATCTGCAGGTTCTTGTTGAGAAGTTATAGGGCTCCCGTAGCCTTCTACGGGAACTTCAGGGTTACTTTGGGAAAGGGATGATCAAGTATCAGGGAGGCCCGAACCTAGGAATTCTTAGGATTCCTTACTTTCCCTACGGGGATGTCACTAGTGGTTGAGGGTTCAAGGTTTAGGGTTCAGGGTTTAGGGCTGCCACGCAGATGTGTGAGGCTTGCAGCAGCACGATGCAGCCAAGGCGCCATGGGCAGAAGCCCTGAACCCCCAAACCCTCAAAAACCCCAAAGCCCCCAACCCCAAAAAACTCAAAAAACCCGGAAACCCAGACAAAAACCCAAACCCGCAAACCCTAAACCCTAAACCCTAAACCCCAAACCCCAAACCCCAAACCCCAAACCCCAAACCCTAAACCCTTGAGAGTCCGAAGGGTGCATGGGCTTCGCTTCCCTCGCGCGGTTCTGGGCGTTTGGGGTTTGTGGCGAGATTTTCCGGACCCACGGCCCCCTCAAGCCTAGGATTTAGGGTTTAGGGCGGTTTAGGGTTTAGGGTTTAGGGTTTAGGGTTTAGGGTTTAGGGTTTAGGGTTTAGGGCGGTTTAGGGTTTAGGGCAACTCCGGCTGCAGGGTTTGGGGCTTGGCTCCGTAAACTTGGCGGGGTGCTGGCTCCCTATTTCTGAGGAATGAATAGTTAGTTTCAAGCCCTGGACCCCGGATCCTGGCAACCCTGAATAAACCCTAAACCCGAATCCCTTATCCCTAATCCCTAAACCCCAGACCCTAGACCCTAAACCCTAAGCCCTATGCCCCAAGCCCTAAGTCCCAAGCCCTAAGCTGGAGCCCTATAGACCCCCAGAGCCCGAACTAGAGCCCGAAGCCCTAAACCCTAAACTAGAGCCCTAGAACTTAGAACCCGAAGCCCTAGAGCCCTAAGCCCTAAACCCTAACCCGAAACCTTAAGCCCTAAACCCGAAACCCTAAACCCTAAACCCTAAACTAGAGCCGTGGAACCCTACTAAGCTGGAGCCCTAAACCCTAAACCCTAAACCAGAGCCCTAGAACCCCAAACCCCTGAGTGCCACATTTTTCAGCCGTGGAGGAGCGCACCCAGCGTGGACAACCGCCTCGATGCAGCCACCGAGGAGGCTCTAGGGTTGAAGGGTTGAGGGGTTGAGGGTTGAGGGTTTAGGGTTTAGGGTTTAGGGTTTGAGGGTTGAGGGTTGAGGGTTTAGGGTTGAGGGTTTAGGCTTTAGGGTCCCTTTCTTTGGCGCATAGGGTGGCCTTGACTCCGAGACTTAGACGGGGCCATCCGAAGAAGCCAACGACGGGGAGTGGCGAAGATACTACTTCGTCACCGCCTACGACTGCCTCTTCCTAAGCCCTAAACCCTAAAGGCCCTAAACCCTAAACCCTGAACCCTAAACCCTTAACCCTAAACCCTAAACCCTGAAGGGCTATGGCTTTGGGGGGTTTAACGATGCCATGCTCAACTTGAGGCTTAGGGAGGACTGCGAGAGACCCTTGAACCAGTGCAAGGCCCCCATCGCCGCCTTGCTGCTTCGGGTGTACGGTGTAGGGTTAGGGTTTAGGGTTTGGGGTTTGGGGTTTAGGGTTAGAGTTTAGGGTTTAAGGTTTGGGGTTTAGGGTTTAGGGTTTGGGGTTTAGGGTTCAGGGTTAAGGGTTCAGGGTGGTTCAGGCTCTTTTCGTCAAGACCCCTAGGCCCTCAAACCGCAAATAGCACGCTGCCCGCCCAAGCATTGCGAAAACCAGAGAACCTGCCAAATGCACCCCATCTACTGTAGGGGGGTCGGAATAACTGCTAATATTATTCCCTTATGGCCCCTTTATACTTGTACTATACTACCCCTAGTCAAATTATTAAGCCCCCTATATCAGACCGGTCTCGGAATTGTGTGTAAAACCTTGGTCAGTTCCATGTAATTATAAGGGATCAGAGTTCACACCGCTGCTTCTGGGGGCTGTGGGAAAATTCACGCTTGATACCATGCCACCCCAGCACCCAGTCCCTGCCGCCCAATGCACCACTTCAAACCGGCAAGCTCGAGCCCCCTTGAACACCCCCCCCCCCCCCAAGTACCCCGCCTAAACATCTACACCCATCTAAGCCCATCTAGACCCATCTAAACTCCCTCCCGATTCCTCAACCTCCCTCACAGTACACTAGGGTTCAGGGTTTAGGGTTTCCTCTTCAGCCCCAACAGTTGCTTCATCTGACAGCCCTCCTGAAGGCTCCTGCGGGGGGGGGGGGGAGAGGAGGGGGGGGGGATCAAACCCGAATCCTTAAACTCCAAACCCAAAACCCTGCAGCAAAAGCCCCAACCCCCAAACCCCAAACCCCAAACCCCAAACCCCAAACCCCAAACCCCAAACCCCAAACCCCAAACCCCAAACCCCAAACCCCAAACCCCAAACCCCAAGCCCTGCAGTAAAAAAACACCATAAACCCCCTAAATCACAGGGTTGTAGGCTGGAGTGTTTCGCGATTTTTTTTCGGCGCTTCGGGCCTTGAGAGTGTTTGACCCCTGGATGGCCCCCTTAGTATGTGGGACTCGAGGAGTCTTCAGCTTGGGAGTCTTTCCACAGAGGTTAGGGTTAGTGGTTTAGGGTTTAGGGTTTAGGGTTTAGGGTTTAGGGTTTAGGTTTTAGGGTTTTGGAGGGATGGGACTCACGTTGAAATCGCACAGGCTTGCAGTGAAATTCGCAATGCAACGACTAGGACCCACAGGGGGGTATGCGTGCTTAGCCTAAGCCGCAAACCAGGAATCCCAAAACGCGACGCTCAGCATGCATGAGTCTCAATAGCCCACTCAGCCCTCGTAGGGGCCTGCGCGCAGCCCACGTCTAAGGGCAGTTACATGGTCCCTCAATATCTACCTTCTTGAAAGGATTTTGCTGAGTATGGGCCCTTAATCCCTAACCCCTAAACTAAACTCCTAAACCCTAAACCCTAAACCCGAAACTCCTAAACTCCGGAACCTAAACCCCAAACCCTAAACCCTAAACTCCTAAACCCCAAACTCCTAAACCCGAAACCCTAAACCCTCCTAAACCCTGAAACCCAACACCGTCTCTCGCAACAGTTTGGTGCCAGATGCAGGCCGCACCTCCTCCGCAGCCAGCCGCTCCGGCACCGTCAGGTGGCTGAGCACGGTTTAGGGTTTAGGGTTTAGGGTTTAGGGTTTAGGGTTTAGGGTTTAGGGTTTAGGGTTTAGGGCTAGCTTACTGGTGCTTAAGGGGGAGCAAGCGAACAGTTGCAGGCATCGTTGTGGGTGCATGCTTCGGGGTTAGAGTTGTGAAAGGACCTGAAGCACCGGTAAGTTAGGCGTCTGAGCTGTTTGGGGCCGTTGGAGGGTCTGGTGGTTTGGGGATGTTCGAGTCTGGTGCCCTAGATTCAGAGTGCGTCCCCTCCCCCCCAAAAAAAATGAAAGAACAAAACAAATATTCCAACCAAACACCCCCAACCCCCCCCCCCCCCCCCCCAACCCCCCAAACCCCAATCCCCAAACCCCGAACCCCAACCCCCAAATCCTAAGTCCTAAAGCCCTGAAACCCTGAAACCCTTGCAGATGCTCGACGGACCGAGAAAGAGGGCGAGCCGGAGGCCGTTCTCAATTCTTGTCCTTTGTTTTCGGGGCTGAGGGTGTGGAGCTCCTAGACCCCGCTAAAACCTTTTAGGGTTTAGGGTTAGGGTCTAGGGTTTAGGGTTTAGGGTTTAGGGCTCAGGGTTTAGGGTTTAGAGGGTTCACGTCGGGTTGATGCGGGGACCAAGGGGTGTAGGCGGTTTGGGGTGGCTGCTCGCGGCTTGGAGGTGGGTTTGCTCTCAGGGTTTAGGGTTTCGTTTGTTTCTGCTAGGGGTCTTAAGGCTCCACGAGGGATCAAATAGGTATCAAACCCTTAAGACTGGCACGCCCAGACCCTAGTCCGCAAGACCCCAAACATGGTTCCCATGGAGCCCTCAACCCTCAACCCTAAACCCTAAACCCTAAATCCTAAACCCTAAACCCCAAACCCATGAAACAGGCTCCTTTGTAACGCGCTTGGAGCCGAAGCCCCAACCTCCCCCTTGCAGGCGCGAGAGGGCGCGAGGCCTGCTGGGTTGCCACAGGTTTAGGGTTTAGGGTTTAGGGTTTAGGGTTTAGGGTTTAGGGTTTAGGGTTTAGGGTTTAGGGTTTAGGGTTTAGGGTTTAGGGTTTACCCTCTGGTATATGGTTAATGGTCTAGAGTTTCGGGCTTAGGGGTGCTAGCATGGTGCAGTTTCCCTATATGGCAGAGGTTTCCGTTCTGGGGTTCTCACTCCAGATTGTCGTGTGCCTTTTGTGAAGTTTTTTCTGAGCTTTTTTTTTGCCAAAGCTTTGAAGCATGGTGATAGATCGTGCTCAGAGTCCTTCAGGGCCTTGAGTGGTACGCTCATTTTTTGAGCAAGCGACAGGTCGTGCTGAGGATGTCTGGTGGTCTTTTCTAGGTGTTGGGAGTTTTGGGAGGACTGGGGCATACTGGGGCTCTCTGGTTTGCTGTTTTCCGCGCAGCATTGGCTCGCGTACCTCAAGCAGATGCACAGGTTCAAGGCCTAGGGAACCCCTAACCCCTAAGACCTTAACCCAAAACCCTAAGCCCGAACTGTGCACTTCTCTTGCCTCCAAGCCCTAAAGCCTGAACGCGAAACCTGAACCCAAAACCCCAAACCCTGAGCCTTGAATCCTGAAACCTAAACCTTGAAAACTCTAAACCTCTAAACCCTACACCCTAAACCCTGAACCCTGAACCCTAAACCCTAAGCCCTGAACTATGAACCTCAAGGAGGCTATTCCGCCCCAAACAACTGCACGTCCCAAAAGCCCGTTTGGGGCTGAAACGTGCGATGGCGGACGCCAGCATCGGCCGGCTCTTGGACGCGCTTGCGGCGCCCCTCTGCCGCACCCCCCGAAGCTCGTAGCTCCTCCCTGAACCCTTCTTAAGGGGCCTGAGGGGTTCAGGGGGCTTTGGGAGGTTTAGGGGTTTTTAGGGCCAGGGGGTTTAGGAACCCTAAACCCCAACACCAAAACCCTAAACCCTGGGGAGTTACTTGGAGGCTCATGAGTACTTGTAACGTAAGTAGGTAACAGGTAGGGGAACTCTCTCTCTCTCTATATATATATATAACCTTACTTAAGGTACTTATAACCCGACTTACAACTACCCATGAACCTCCAAGTAGGGGTTTAGGCTTCGTGTTTCTGTTGGCCACAGTCTGGGGAACTCACGGTCGCTGGATGCCAGACTGCTGCTCAAAGGGGTCAGTGCGTGTGGGGGTCATCGTTTAGGGTCGCCAAACCCCAAACCCCAAACCCTAAACCCCAAACCCCAAGCCCTAACCCTAAACCCTAAACCCCAAATCCTAAACCTCAAACCGCAAGCCCTAAACCCTAAACCCCAAGCCTGAAACCCTAAACCCTAAACCCCACACCCTAAACCCCAAACCCCACGCCCTAAACCCTAAACCCTCAACCCCAAACCCTAAACCCCAAACCCCAAGCCCTAAACCCTAAACCCTCAACCCTAAACCCCAAACCCCAAGCCCTAAACCCTAAACCCCAAACCCCAGGCCCTAAACCCTAAACCCTAAGCCCAGAACCCTAAACCCGAGACCCTAAACCCTAAACCCTAAACCCCAAACCCTAGGGTTCTGGTTCTCCAGAAGTCCGCCACCCCAAAGCTTCCCCTTGAGGGCATGAGAGAGTTTAGGGCGCTTTTTTAGGATTTATGGGGTTTAGGATTTGTAGGGTTTGGGGCTTGGGGTTTAGGGTTTAGGGCTATTTAGGGTTTAGGGCTATTAAGGGTTCAGGTCCAGGGAAAGTTTTGGGAAAGCTTCGAGGGAAGTCTGTTTTTTTCTACACATATATTTTATGCATATATATATATATATATATTTGCCTAGTTTCAAGTTAAAGGGGCTTGAGGGTTTAGGGTTTGAGTTTTCGGATCTAGGGGGGGTTAGGGTTAGGGGTTTCGGGTTTAGGGCATCATGGGACTCCACCTTGGGCCCCAAAGGTCATAGTAAGGTTTTGGGGACCCTATGTAAAAATGTCTACAGTAGCCCAAAGAGCCCAATACCCCTTAAGTAAGGAATATACCTTAACATATATAGGGGCCCTTAATATGATTTGAGGTATACTCCATAATTCGGGGTATTGGGCTCTCTAGCCATATGTTAATGAAGGGTACAAACCTTAGAGGTACGAGTCTTATTCATGGAGGCAGCATGCCTAGGGAGTTCCGTTAACCTTCCCCCTCTAAGACCCCAAATTTAGGGTTTAGGGTTTAGGGTTTAGGGTTTAGGGTTTAGGGTTTAGGGTTTAGGGTTTAGGGCAAGCCCAACGGCCTTTCAAGGAAGCTGCCGCCCAAGGCCACACGCAAGACGGTGGAGGCAGACTTGGGAGGGCCTTGGAGAGTTCCCAACTTCCCAGACCATCAGCTTTGCAAGGGAACTCCAAGCCCGAAAGCC